CATGTATTTCAATCTTCTTTAGAATATCACACTATTTTGAAGAACACAAATAATAAGCAGTATGCGGTTGGGATAATGTTATACTTATGAGGAGAAATTTACATAAGTGCTAAAAATGAATAATATTGCCATAGAAAATTCTCATTGTTGACTTTTTAGAATCTATTACTAAATATAACAGCAAGACCTTTATTTTCTACTTCTTTCTTTACAAAGAAATACAATAAATATTAATACAGGTTTTCCCTGGGAGGTTAAGTTTTGGCTACTTTTTAATTGCTTCTGGGCATCAGTCAAATATTCAGTAAATACAATTTTTATACAATCTCACTTTTTAAAAATAAAGTAAAAGCTTTCAGTTTCTTCATTTATAACACCAGTTTGACTAATTCATTTATAAATTTCTCACCCAAATCTCTGACCTCTCTGAAATCTCATCACCAACATACTTAGTGCTACCTTTTTGATACTCATTATTTTCATTGAAAGAATAGGACTTCCAGTTTTGGGTTAATGTTTCTGTCTTTCTTATTGGTAGTAATGCCACAGTCTTTAGCATTTATTTCTGTAGTTCATGTTCCCTGCTGGAACTAGACTGCAGACAGCCATGCAGCTGGGAGACATCAGTCTCATGAGGACCCCGGAGTGGTGGCAGCTGGTAAGCTATTTCACTAGGCACAAGTTATTCTTACAACAAATCAGATTTAGTCAATAACTTTATATGCCTTATGAATTTCTTTTTCAGTTCGAGAAAGTGTCAATTACCTAGTGTCTCAGCAGAATATACTTCTGACTCCTACATCATACTCACCATTGAAAGTTTTCCACTGATATAAGAAGCATTTCGTTAACTGTCATAAGATGTGTCTGCTAATCTGCTTTGATTCTTCAAAGAGATTCTCACTTTTGTTTGAAGAAAGTAGTAAGTTAATTCACTATGCCTCTACATATGTCACTACCACCTCAGGATAGTTCTGTTCATTTTCCCCTAGGCATTTCATTATCTATTATATATTAGAAATATGTAGTTGCCACTACTTCTTGATCATGATTTTTCATTTGTTTCAGAACATCTCTTCTCATTTTAATAACCTTTTGCTCTATAGGCATTTCTTATATTCATATGATGATTTTACATTTCTGTGCCTGAGAATGTTTTTGTATACAATGGCCATGTTTTTTTATCATATCTGTGATATCTGAGCTTTTTAAAAAAATTTTTTCCCAGTAAAATTTATGATATCAAATGGGATCCAGAAGAATATTACATCAAATATACTTCTTTACCTTGGGAAAGTACTGTATCACCTGTTTTAATTATGGTTTTCACATTATTTGTCACTTTCACTTGGAAAATAATTTTTTTTTAAACTTCAGAAGACTTGTTTTATATCCTGAAATGTGTTCATTTTCAGTTTTATTAATTTTTGTTCATTTTGGATCACCATTTAATGAAGATCCGTGGAACATCTATTTGTTTTAAAGATACCTTTTTGCCTCCAACTAATAAAAATTTAAAAAAAATAAAAATAAAAATAAAAATAAAAATAAAAAAAATAGCTTAGTTAAAAAAAAATAGAGAAATAGGAGTATCTAAAAAAATAAAAAATAAAAAATAAAGATAACTTTTTATGTTTATGGGCTGCTCTGATAGCTCAGTTGGTAAAGAATCTGCCTGCAATGCAGGAGACTTGAGTTTGATCCCTGGGTTGGGAAGATCCCCTGGAGAAGGGAAAGGCTACCCACTCCAGTATTCTGGCCTGGAGAATTCCATGGACTGTTTAGTCCATGAGGTCTCAAAAAGTTGAACATGACTGAGCGACTTTCACTTTCATGTTTATGGAAATGCTTGCTCTAATAAAAGCCTACACATCTGTTTTGTTTTTTCTTAATTTTCATTCTATGTTGATATTATCAACTCTGGAGCTTTTATTGTGTTACTATAGGATAGTGATGGGCTTCCCAGGTGGCACTAGTGGTAAAGAACCCGCCTGCCAATGCAGGAGACATAAGAGATGCGACTTCACATGCACTCACCCACAGGATGGTAACACAGTGATAAATTACTAACTTTATTGGAAATGTTAAGTTACATCAAGAAAATAGCAGATAGTAATCCCAGAAGGAGGGTTTCTTTAGTACTGCCACAGACATGCTAGAGTTTTCTTTGAAACACCTTTAATTTCCATTTTAGTTGTGTACCTCTGCCTGCTAAAACTAGGTTTGGTAAATCCAAGCTCTTTTGATAGTCTATATTTATAGCTATATTATTTTAAATTTCTAAAACAGATTGTAAATGTAAAATAGTATATAATGAATTAGCCAAGGGAAATTTGGAAAACAAGGTACAGTGTGTTAGGCTCCTGAGAGAAGAAATGTCTAAAGGATTAAAAAAAAATCAGGAAAGGTGAGACGGTGTTCAGGTGCTATCTATACTATTAGCAGACAAGAAAAGAATCCAAAGAGAAGTTTTGTAATCTGACTCTTGTCATGTTTTCTGTTTCCCTTCAAAGCAAAACCTCCTTTAGAGTTGTATATACTCACCATCAGGCTTCCCTGTTGACTTATATGGTAAAGAATCCGCCTGCAATGCAGGAGACTGGGGTTCGATCCCTGAGTCGGGAAGATCCCCTGGAGAAGGGAATGGCTACCCACTCTAGTGTTCTTGTCTGGAGAAGTCCACGGACAGAGGGACCTGGCAGGCTACAGTCCATAGGGTTGCAAAGAGTCAGCCATGACTGAGCAACTAACACTTTACTTCATACTCACTATCTTCCCTTCCTTACCCCATATTCTTTCTTGAACCAAATCCAATTAGGTCTGTATCTTTGTCAGTCTGCTGAAATGATTCTTCTGAAGATCACCAAAGACTTCTTTCTTATCAAATTCAGTTGCTTTTACCTTGCTCATCTTCTCAGCAGTAATGGACACAGTTGACCACTTCCGCCTTCTTGAAAGTATTTGATTCTGAGCTTCAATACATGGTATCTTCTGCAGTGCTGGAGACCTGGGTTCGATCCCTGGGTTGGGAAGATACCCAGGAGAAAGGAAAGGCTACCCACTCTAGTATTCTAGCCTAGAGAATTCAGTGGACTGTATAGTCCATGGGGTCACAAAGAGTTGGACACGACTGAGCAATTCTCACTTCACATCTTAGCCTTAGATTTTCCTCCTCTTCACTGGCCAGTCCCTCTGATCTCTATGATGGCTTGTCTTCTAAATGTGGGTAGCATCTCAGACCTCAAGCATATTCTCTTCTTTCTCTCCAGGTAAGCTCCTTCAGTCCCAAGGCTTAATCATATATATGATTCACATATTTTTATCTTTTTTCCCATATTTGCCTCTGAGCTCCAGACTGAAATACCAACTGCCTTTTGAACACAACCAACTACCTAGTTTGACAAACTAGAAATCACTTTGATATCTCTCTTCCCTCATCTCCTGCATGCAGCCTGTCAGCAGGTCCTGTTGGCTGTATCTCTGTATAGATCCTCAGTGTTACCACTCCTTCCTCTGTTGCTATCATCCTGGTCCAAACCACCATCATCTCCTACTTAGCCCCGCCCCGCACTGTCCTTTCTTCCCATATAACCAACAAAGTTCTTTCTGAAACAAAGATTGGATCAAACCACTACCTTGTTTAAAACTCGCCAGTGGCTCCTGATTGCACTCATAATAAAATCCAAGTACCTTAAACGCCTGGACAATGAGGCCCCACAGGTTCTGTTTCCTACCATCTCTGATTCCAACCCCTAGAACTCCAGAGACACTAGAATTCTCTCCAACTCGCCAAGCTCTTTCCCACTTGTGGTTTTTGCAGAGTGTTCTTTCTCCTGGGAACATTCTTCCTCAGTTCAGTTCAGTTCAGTCACTCAGTTGTGTCTGACTCTCTGTGACCCCATGGACTGCAGCACACCAGGCTTCCCTGTCCATCACCATTTCCTGGAGTTTTCTCAAACTCATGTCCATGGAGTCAGTGATGCCATCCAACCTTCTCATCCTACATTCTTCCTACACACCTTCAAATGTTGGCTCCTGTTTGTTTTGTTTACATTTGAACTTAAATGTCACTCTGCAGAAGTCTGACTCCCCTCTGTCACTACGTGGTATTTTCTACTTAGCACTTAGTGCTATTACATTTATTTGCCCACACACCCATTGTGACTATAACGTCCTCAATAGTCCATTAGGGCAGGAATTCTGTCTTCTTCAACACCATATCCCCAGAACTGTAAGATTATCTGGTGCACAATAATGTGCAGTAAATATTTGTTATGTTATTGCAGAATGAGACTGAAGTGACTTTACAAGGACAATTTTAACTGGATACCTAACTTCACCAAAAGAATCCTCTGCTAATTACTAGCTGTGTCACTCTGGACAAGTACCTTATTCTCTGAGCCACAGTCTACTCCTATGTCAAATGGTACTACTTACCTCATTAGGGCAGGTTCTGAGGATTAAATGAAATATCTGACAACACAGTAAAACACTTGAAAAGGGTGGCTAATCTTCTCAAGGTTTTTCGTATACAGTTGCACATTAGCATTCCAAAGTTTCCAGAGCTTTTTTGAATCTGTAAATGTTTATATACAAAGAGGGTACACCCATGACAGTCCTTGTACTTTTGGTTGAATAAACAAAAGCTCTGTTTTGCTGCCTTTGTGCTTCCTCAGTATCAAGTGAAGCAATGAAGTTTTTATTAAATGGCTTAGCTACAGAGTAACTGTGGAGATCTCTGCAGCTTCATAATCATTAAGCAAAATAAGTTTATCTAAAGCCTCTTAAACTGAACCTGAGAGTTCAAAACACCCTTTATTTTCAGGTAGTCCCCTTGATTCTCTTGTGATTAACAGGACATTTAGTCTTTTCTAAATTTCTGTTTTTGATCCAAGTATCCTCCCTTCTCCAAGCAGACACTTCTTACTTCTGTAATGACTTTATAAGCTTTAACAGTAGATGGTGCTATGAATGCACGAAAATAAATTAGTATAGACCACAACAGAACCATCACAGGTTTATTTCGTGACTTATAACAACATAGAAATATGCCTTTTTTAATACTTTCTATAAAGTTATTGACAATACAAAAAATTTTTTTTCTTTTTTTTCTTTTAATGAAAATGATTTAACTTAGAAATCTATTGTGAAACTTTTGTCTAGTTTTGCAATTCTCAGATATTCCAGTGCAAAAATAGATCCCATTACAGACAGCATAAAGTGCTTGGAATGAAGGGTCAATGATAAAGACAAAGCACAAAAACATGGTTTCATCCTAGGGTATAAGAAGGGAGAACAGAATTCTTAAAACGTACGGAAGTATAAACATTCTATAAAAAGGGATGCAACAATTCTGAAGAGGATTAGAACAATATTTCTATAATACTATATTACTAGTAAATGGTAACAAGAGTAGAAATTAATATCTCAATGTCAAAGTGGTTCAATATAATATGACACATGGCTCTTTGGAAAAAAAATTTTACCTGATATATACAACCACAAGAAGAAAACAGATCCCTTTAGTCAATGATTACTATACAGTGAATGCTGTGCAACATTTAATAGTCACAATGCATATGCCTTCAGTACAGGTATTGAAATACAGTAGTTTGAGGTTTGGTTATTGGTTTTTTAACAATGACCTATGCTGGGTATTTGTGTATAGAGGGCTTTGTTATGGTTTTCTTTTGTATTTTTTCATATTCACAGTTAATAAGGCTTCAGGTATCCAAAAGAAGCAGAAGCAGAAATCTCTGAACACTTAAAAAAAATTTTTTTTTTGTTAAACTCACATGGTTACATTTCCACAGGGATGATATAGAAATTTTACCTGACTGAGAAGAGAGTTGGTAAGAATCTCTAGTATAATTAGGCTTACCCAGAAAAATTTTAAAGACTGCAATTTGGATATCTAATAACCATACTAATGCAGTAGATGAGTAGCTGTAGATTGTTTCTAGCTTAAGATAGCCTTTAAATCTATACTGAAATGTTGCATTTTTCAACGTAGTTCACAGTATCCTTTGATTTTTTTAAATATGGCCTTGAAGTAGAATAATCAAAAATAAGGAGCTGCTCATGGTTTTAATACAACACAGATTTAGGACATGATTCTGCTGAAATGGGGAATCTAGCAGAAGCTTGATTTTGGAAAATACTAAACAAGGAGAAACATCATTCCATGAATTTTATATCATTGAAGATAGCATAAAATATGAGTTTAGGCCAATAATTATTGGGAAATTGTCATTATTACTCATTTATCATTTTAGAAAATATTGGCAATAATCTCTAAAGGTCATTTTCTTTCTCCAAGCAACAAGTTGCATGATAACATGCAGTAAATTTTAAAAGAAAAAATGTATATTTGGAATAGATCTGAAATCTTGTACTTTTAGAATTAATATCTAATTTTTTAAAAGGAAAAGACATTAATAATGATACTAAAAGATCACTTTAACTTCAAACAGTATTTCTCTCATAATTTTGTTGTCTCAAGACAGATAACATTATCTTTAACAAGTGTTTACTGACTAAAAACAATTCAACTGACTTGGAAAAGTCTGAAATAATTTTCATGTGGGGGCATTTGCTGTTTTTTTCCCATGATAGTGACTGAAGAGATAAAAAATTTGAGATTGTCAGAATGGGGTATCTGAGATTTTCAAAGCCAATATTCAAAGGTACTAAATGCCATAAGCACAAGTTTTATGTTATTCAACAAGTTTTGAAGCTAATCGTGTGACCCTTTGACATAAACTTTCTTGCCTTTTGCATTGTTGCTATTTTTAAAAAGTGGGCTGCCCAATATTCTTTCAGTGGGTTCCCACAACCACAACAAAACCTGTATTTGTAAACCAGTTATCTGATGAACATGGCACAGGAAATCTACTGAAACTTAATTTCTCCCCACGCCATCCATCCATACTCACTCAGTTATAACATACACTCAAAGAATACTTGACCAATGCGCTGATACTAAAAGTATGCTTAATGATCTTAAAGATACTTAAATATAATGTTGTCATGAGATCTTGGCCATCATACTGTTTTCAAGTCACTAGGCATTAGTCAGATAATCCACTTGCAAACACACGTGAAAAATTAAAGCTAGCGAGCCAGTGTGGCCATACTCCTCTGTGCCACAGGGTTCTACAAAGAGGCCACTCTAAGTTTTCAGAAGTCACTAATAGAACTTACAATTCCAAATAACATTAAAAGTACAAAGATTGTTCTCAAAATACAACTCCATCTTTTCATATTCTAGATTAATTCAAAAAGCCAGAAATAATACTATGTTTGTGTCAAACAACAAGATCTTGAGATGCACTGTACCGTGTTAGTAGACAAGCAGGACAAATGGACACAGACCTCCCTTGATTCCAAATCCATCATCTCTTTCATCACATGCCATGGCCTCCCCAGCTTGCAGCCCCAACAGTGTGGTTGCTGATTCTTTGCTTCTTACCCGGATCTAAGTACACTTAGAGTCCCAGAAAGATAATCTTGGAGACTCGTGGTTCCAAGCAAGGGACAACAATGAAACCAAGTTTTGCTTTTGTATGTCACCATGTAGTTTGCATGTCACCATCACCAGAGCAGCTCAAAGAGGGAATCAAAGCAGGACTTTCCCCACATGTGGCACCATTTCATCAACTGGTACTTGATGATGTCAACAGACTCTGAGTAGCACAGCTTTCACAAGTGTGCAAGGCATACCATGGTGCTTCAGGCTTTCTGAGAAACTTGGCACTAGTAATTCTGGCACACTCATTGCCAGCAGCGGCTATGTCACCGGGAAGCCAGTCTCTTGGCATGGCACGGCGTAATGAATGAGCATATGCATGCCTTTTGATTTTGAAAAATAATCACTGGCCATGATTACTTGATGAATTGTTGTTGCAACCCCAGTAAGAATACAAAGGAACAAAAAAAAGTATGTCAAACTCATATGTCCACTGGGTTCCATACTAGAGTTTCACATGAGTATAAGGTAATAAACTAAATTCAAGTCTTTTTCACTTGAGAGCCATATGAGACATAGGCTACAAAGGCACTGCCCTTGTAATGGAATTTTGTTTTCATTGCATTGAATTGCATTGCATTGAATAGTATCAGTACAGTATCCAGTTTACTTCTTCCCACAAAATCTTCTAGCCCTTTCCTTTGGAACACTTCACATGGTGCAAAGGAAGGTCTAGTTCCTCCTTTCTTCCAGTCACCCTATATGGACAAGGTTCTTCATACATAACTTTCTTTGACTTTCTCATCCTGCAGGAAAGATGTGAGGACTGCAACATCCACTACTGTCTGGTTTTTGTGTAATGACAGATCCTTTAAGTGGTCATCATCACTTTGGTCCTTGGCAAAGTTTACAAATACCTGTCAAAATAAAGACGGACCATTATAAACACCTCTAATTTGCTCTCTCTTTATTCAAGTTGCACTTTTCCCCATATGGAAATTATGTCATATACAAGAATCTGAGACTGAATAAATAGATTAACTAGAAAACTTTGTGTAGGAGGCAGAAAGGAATGATTGAAAAAGCATTAATCATTAAAAAAAGTAAATAACTGCCCTTATATATTGCCCCTCCAATCAACCAACTGCTCAATCATCTATTTATTTTGACTCATTATTTATTTTGACTCATACAGACTTGATTAAAGGGAAGGGGGATGAAAACTAACATTTGCTAAATATCTACTAAGTGCCAGGATCTCTTTCGTACCTGATGTCATTTAATTTAAATGGGATACTGCACTTGGCCTAAAACCTGCCTATAGCAGATACTCAATAAATTGCAGTTTTTAGGATTAGTATGATAATTTGTTCTCATAATAACCCTATGAAATCAGTAGCATCATCTCCCTTTTCAGATTCAGGGAGGTTAGGTTAAAAGCATAACTAACAGTAGACGATCAGGAGTTCATGCTCCGATAATCTGTACTGTTCTAGGACCCATAATGAAGGGGGAGGAATCCTCACCCTAAAAAGCAAATCTACTTTTGACACTCAAAGCTTACTTGGTCAAGTGTTGTCTGAGAGACAGAGTAGTCTTCTATGTGGAGTCGCTTTTTGCTCTGGGAAAGGATGCTGAAAATCCTGGCCAGGGAAGACAGGGAAGACGGAAGCTGGTACTGCAACATGTTCCGGTGCTTCTCCTTCAGGACGCTTCCTGGAAAGGCGAGTTCAAAGAACTCCTGTACAGGCTTCAGGTCTGGGTTCGACCCTGCTATTCGTACAACTATTGTATAACCATCTCCAAACCTGAAAGCAGGAAAAAGAAAATCCTAAAAGCAGGGAAAAAAAATAATCCTGAAAGCAGGAAAAAGAAAATCAAATTAAAGACTCTGGGGAAACTTCTCAAAAGAATATTTAACTCTTGGGTCCTGAAAGAGAAAGTGGTCCCTGCCAGACCAAGAAATAGTTTCAGAGAAAAGGAACCAGTTGTCAAATACTGAATACCTATTCTATTTGAGCTGCCTTGCCAAGTGCTTTAGACATGACTTCATTTAATCCACACTTGGACATCTGAGATATTAAGAGAAACTGAAACCTAGAGAGTTGGTCACTTGCTCATGATACAAAACTCAGTAGTGGTAGGGCTGGGGTGTGGACCCAACACCAGTCAAACCAACTGGTGCGTTTGACTCCAAAATCTATGCTCCAACCTTACTGGCACGTATAAATCTCCCCATTACATCTCTATAACAAAAGCAGAAAGTAGCTATTCATAGAATACTGACTCTCAGAGAGGTTAAATAATTTTCCCAAGTGCATACAACCAGTAAAAAGTAAAGAGAGAATTTGCACGCAGCTCTGTTGGACTTCAAGGTCCTTATTCTTTGCACTATACCATTTTGTTCAGTTTATTTCCCTTTATTTTAGAACCACTATGTATACACTCACAAAAGAATAAATACACAATTTCTCATTATGTGGGATCCCAAGGAAAGTGTCCCTGTTACCTATTTTTCAGATGTTGAACACTGCCAAGACACCTGAACCGCCCATTGACCATAATTGCCATCCTAGTGCAAAGAGCTTCACATTCTTCCATACTGTAGGGAAACAGAATGAGGTTTAGTTTGAGAAAGATGCTCCTGTAACCATTAGAACATCACCATGACATCTGGCATTTCAAAGAAACAGATTCTTAGCTTCCTAGAGTATAACTGCTTCCTGCTAGAAATTTCATGACGATGTAGGGAAAATAATGCTCACTGCCGTGTCATTTACAATTGTGAAAAAGCTGAGAATGTTCCTAGTGTCTACACAAAAGAGGAATGGTTAAGTAAATTAGGGTATATCCTAATGGAATACTATTTACTAATAGCTATAAGAAATGATGACACATCTAAATTAAACTTACTTGGAATACTGTTCTCAATATTGTTAAGTGAAAAAGAACTTGGTATATATGCCAAAGCTTGCATTTTTGTTTGTAAAAAACATATACACTGTGTACAGATTCGCAGAGGAAAACTCTGCAAAGATATATTGCCCAGTGATAATAATAGTTGTCTCCTGGTGATGTATCAGGTGACCATAATTTTTTTTTTTCTTTGCCTTTCTGTGTTTTCTGTTTTTACACAGTGATCATATATACTACTTGGAAAACCTAAAAATTATACAACAACGAAGTCAAGCCAACTCTTCACTACAGACCTGTGAGAGGTGAGCACTACTGATCTCCCTTCCTTGATGATACTTAGGGCACAATTCCACAGGAAGCGCCGGGCTTTGGGGTCCATGCCTGTGGTTGGTTCATCCTGTAAACAGAATAAAATAAGTCCTATTATGTGTTGGAAAAAAATCAAAGATAGGTTTGGTCTTAAATGCAGAAGCATTTTAGAAATAGCCTAAGGTTTAACTTACCATTCTGTTTATTTCTTGAAGGATCAAAAAACCAGACCTTACATAAAAGAATATTTCATACTTGTTTATAACCAGTTCACTTTTATAACTGTCACTGAAGTAGAAAACTCAAATTTAATTTTTGTGAAATTAAATTTCTCCAAATAAACAGAAAGAAAAAGGGAAAAGTCATTTAGTTTCAATCATCTTTTCATGACTGACAAGCATATACTAAAAATTATTTTTGTCTGAAATGCTACTGAAATCAGTTCAAAAATTGAATAATTTTTTTTTTTAATTTTAGTTCACTCTGGCTTAGCCTATTATACTTTACTTGCTGGTCTTCAGTTCAGTTCAGTTCAGTCACTCAGTTGTGTCCGATTCTTNTGGATGCCATGATCTTAGACTTGCTGGTCTTAGAGGAACAAATTCTAAATCTAAACACTCTGGATAACTTTAAAGCCTCAGTCCAAGGCTTCTTCCTGCAATAACCTCAGTGCCCTTCTCCTTTACAGAAGAAAAAGGTCAAGGGCCACTGTTAGTTTGATCTTCTGTCTTCCATTTATCCATATGTAAGGAACTATGTACCCAAAGGCGCTACTTAGGAATCCTGAGGCTATATCAACACTCTCCATCTCCAGAGGATGAACACATGGATGGCATACAGAATGGTCCAGAGCAAGTTAAATCCTATACCCAGCCTCAGTAGCACTTGTTGGGATTCTCCATGCCAGAGAAACAAGGTCCCTGGCGTATCTCTCCCTCTGGAACATCTGAGGGCAAGGCAGATATACCCCATGTGTGTTAAGAAGAGGGACAGGGGAGCTTCCCTCTGGTTCTCTGAGGCTATTGCTCATCAGGTGAGGTGGGGCTTGCCGTTGCTGAGCCAGTCATGCACATCCTGGACATCCAGGACTTCAGAATAGAGATGCTTTCCATTCAGGCCAGAACAGGTTTTTCCATGCAGTCACACTCACCAGAAACACCACTGGAGGCCCACCAATCAAAGCCATGGCTGTTGAGAGCTTGCGTTTATTGCCTCCACTGTAGTTCCCAGCATATTTTTCTCCATACTTCACAAGGCCCAGTTTCCGAATCGCCCACTCGCCAACCTAAGAGTGATAAAAAAGCTCTTGGACGTTTGCTGGGTTTGGTGATGTTATCACGCTTTCTTACACTTGCATGTGAGAACTCTTTCACTGAGTAGGACCAGATCCTATACGATCATGACCTGGGTAGTGCCCACAGCACAGGGGGCAGCGCTCCCTCTCTGCCCTCCAGGGTGAGCCTGATCTCCCATCCCCACCCCACCGCCGCAGCTTCCCACTTCGAAAGTAGCTGCAAAGAGCCAGCACTTCCTGTCGCTGCATCCATAAGGGAGAACTGCCTGAAGCCAATGGCCATGTGTGAAGGTCACAGCCATAAGGTAGGCTGTCAGGATGCCAAAGGAGGCAGGCTGGCTTTCCACTGCCCACAGTACCTTGCCTACTTCTTTCTCCGGGACTCCTCTCAAAAGGGCAAAGAATTCCACATGTTCTCTTCCAGTCAGCAGCTCTGTGATGGCATCAAACTGAGGGCAATAGCCCATGTTCTGATGCACTTCATGGATGTCTGATAAGATACTGCAAAGAAAAACAGAGCTGGTCAGGTTTTTAAGCATTTTGTATTCTGGTCAGACCATCTTGCCTAACATTCTATACAGTGTGTTTGTGCATAATAAACAGACCAGGAGCACACTTGCTTATAGCTTCAAGGAACAGCCTTTCTGCCCTCAGGATGCCAGCCCCTCCTGGAAGTCAGGGTTCCTGCCTCCATCCTGCCCAGTCCTTGCCCCTAGTTCCCCCAACACCTCAATCTGCAGGCTTGGTCCCATTTCAGAATTCCCAAGTCCACCCCAACTGCGGCGCTATCTATATCAACAGCCTTAGTCACGCTATCCAGGGGCTTTAACACGAAGTGTCCATTCCTGACTTGTGGCCCAGTCGTCATACGCACCGTGTGCTCTGTTGCTTCATTTAAGCCAGAAGAGACCCAGCAGTTTGGGTGACCTCCCTCTGCTTTTTGCTGCCTATACACTGACTTGGCCACGGCATGATCCAAACCCCACAGTCCTGCTAAATATTCAACCCAGAAACTCCCCTGGTTTTGAAGGTTTTCATGATGAGAACCTGATGACAACAAAAAATGTAACTACAGACACAATTTTACATATACTGGTGGAGGCAGCTTTAAGGCCCCATGAAGCCAATCTAGGGTTAAGGATCCCTGATGTAGGAGGAAGCTCAGTGTCACATCCAGTCTGATGGCTGCACTTCAGTCACCTCTGGACAGCCATGGGTTCGGCCGCTCAACAGTATTCATTCCTCTCTGCACATCAATTTAGTAGGCCCAGGTCCAGAGTTTTCCAGACTTGTGCTCACAGACCCTGTGCCTAGACCTCACAGCTTCACTGCCCATACCAGTATTCAGAACCAGGCAATATAATGAACCTTAGTTTGGACCAGTTATTGCTACTATTGCTATATACCCCAGGAGCCTGGTACTAGAAACAAACCTGGGGAAGCATGTATGTAGCCTCAGGTCTGCTATTCTAGAAATTCTGTCCTCTTAAACCTCCTTTACACTGTTACTAAAACAAATGTAAGATGCAGAGAAAAGTCATGAGTACATTAAGTTCCTTGATGTTTTCAATTTTATTGGCTAGCAGCCCTTTGTCCAAATTGTGAGTCATTCCCCATTTGTACATTATGAAATAAATTTAGTGGGTCACAACTAGTATTATTAAAACAGCATGGCAGAGAGTGGAGTAAGAAATATTGAATGCACTACAAGCAGTAAGAATAGGTAGTATTTTACAAAATTATTTAAGCTGTATGCCTGTTTACATGTTTTTATGCGTTTACTTGACTGAGAGGTAAAATGCATTTGCTACTATGGGACATGATCAAAAAGTTTGAAAGCCACAGATTTGTACCATTTCTCCACAGAAAAAGCCCAGAGAAGTTCCACGTATTTAGAATGCTCGAGGGTTTCACTTTCAAGGTTGCCTAGCAGGACTGTACTATAGGCATACTGTACTCCTTAAGATCAGACTGCTCAGTGGTCTCTGCATTCTCAAATAACAGCCCAGTGGTGACATTCATTGTTGGCATACCCTTTAGAGAGGGCAATTTCACAAGTAGATAACCTTTTATCTTGATGAAACAATCAACATGAATACAAGGACATATTTAGTAAAAAACAGAAACAAATATCCAGTAAAAAGGATTTGGTGAAATAAATGTCCAACAATAAGGAAATAGTGAAATAAACTACCGGTACATGTACATAGAGGCATTTTATGCAGCAATGTAAAATTCTACATCTTAGAATATGAAACACATTGGGAAATAGTCATCATACAGTCATTAGCAGCAAAAAACTAATTTAAAAATCTAGATCTAATATAATCTCAATTTTATAATATATTTATATGTGAATATAAAATACACATTTGGGTTGATGGGAATGTTGTAAAATTGTATTGTGATAACAGTTGTACAACTCTGCATATTGCCTAAAAGTCACTGAATTGTACTCTTAAAACAACTAAACTGTGTGGTACATAACTTATACCTGAATAAATCTATTAAAAAAAATAAAGTGAGACTAAAAGGAAATGTAAATAGTTGTTATCTGTACGTACTGGGATCATGGATTTTTATTTTCTTCTTCACAGTTTACTATATTTCAGCATTTTTAGAAACTATACAGTGCTGTTATATCAACAAAATCACAATATATTCATTTAAATAAAGTTTTTAGAAAATCTTTGTGGCAAAATAGACTTGTTTTCTCACCTATTTTTGTTAAGGAAAGCATCTCCTTTGGTAACAGTGGTATCTCCCGTTAACATCTTAAAAGTTGATGATTTCCCAGCTCCATTAACACCCAGAAGTCCAAAGCACTGAAAATGATTGGGTCAGTAATATTAGCAAACTACTAAAAATCTGAATATAAATGACTCACAGTTACCTCAGCTTCATTTTTATATAACATGATCCTAAAATGTCCCTCTTAATGAAGAGTAAAATATTTTCTAGGTTTTCAGAAGTCATATGGATGTTTAATCATACATTTTATAATGGAACCATTTTAAATGTGGATGTATTTGTCAATATTCTTTGAGTTGTTGGGTTAAAGCCAAAGTTAATGAGTGAAAAACAGTAATGAAAGCCAACAAGTCAAATTTCACCATCAAATCTAGCTAAAGGGCATACAAGAATACAAACATAAATAAAGAGAATATCTTTTTTTAAATCTATTTGAATTTCATTATCATCTTGAATGGATCCAAAATCACTTTCTAGATGTACATAAATTGTACTTAAATTGTACTTAATGTACTTAAATTGTCTGAGATTATCCAAAATTGTTGATACACGGGGCCACTACTTTTGATATATGCGTGCGTGCATGCTTAGTCACTTCAGTCGTGTCCGACTCTTTGCGACCCCATGGACCATGGCCCGCCAGGCTCCTCTGTCCATGGGATTCTGCAGGCAAGAATACTGGAGCGGGTTGCCATTTCCTTTTCCATTTGATATATGGGGCCTTCAAACTTTCAATGACTGACTGCTACACATAGATATAAATGGAGTAGCCTTTTAAAATCACTTTTAACTTCTTACAGACATTGTTGTTTGACTGGAGTAGAGACAGTCTGAACTAATAGGGGCAAACGCAATATAGATAAAGTGTCTTTACCTCACCGGGAGGAATGCCAACGCAAATCCTGTCAACAGCAGGTTTCCTCTTTCGTCTGTATACCTGCAACCAGCAAAATGCACAAAGTCATGAGCTGCAGTACTCACGGCTGTCCCAGGCAACTGTGGAAGAGGGAATTATGACCTAAACACACCATGAAATTCGACTCATTGATAAGACTAAGTCAGATATTTGATGTGCCAAAGCCTTGGTCTGTCTCTGTGGCAACTGGCTTTTGAATGACCCTGATGCTCAAAATATAAATGAATTTCTTTGTATTTTTTAATCAAACATCAGACTTAAAAATATATATATTTGTCATTAATATCTACATAATTTTTATTTAATATAAAGACATTGCAGATATTTTAAAAATTAAGTTCTATGGGATAAAAATTTGTTATGAAAACATTGCAAATATTGAACATATTACAAAAAGTGAATTGTTGTGATTCTGGCACCTAGAAAGGGCTGAAACAGATACTCCTCTTAATCAATGGGGATTTACCAGCTTTTTTGAAATTCAAAATCAATCATTTATTTTCCCAACTTCAGCTTTGACCCAATATACAATATTAGATGTTTTACTAACACATAAATGTAAACATGAAAAACAAACATACTCAAGAATGAGAATTCACTTTACAATTATTCTCAGTAGGATTTTTTTAATTAGAGAAGTCTCCATGGTGTATTTTAAGTAAAATTAAATTGACAGAAACTTGGTATAGATGCACATTTCAGGAAGCATGCTCCTTTTATTAAGTGAGTCAGCAAAATGCTAGTTTCTAACATATAAAGCTGAAAAAATTGAAGGCAAGTTGTAGCCTGCCTTCACTGTCTCACCTTAGTCAACTCTTTGATTTCTAAGATGTCATTCTGTCCTCCACCATCAAGAATTCTCTGTCTTTCCCGCCTCACATCTTCATCCTCATCATTCAGAGGAGGAAGCTTTGCCTTTACAGGTCTTAGGAAGAAAATTAAGAAGGAAAAAAAAATCAACCTTTCAAGTTATTTTCTAAGTCAAAGACCCAGTTTCTACATCAGTCCTATAAAATCCACACTCCAGCACTGTCAGTACTGTTGGTCAGGGGATGCCCACGTTAGGAGAATCAGTTTGATTATCTGCTTTGAGTTCAAGTCAACCCAACCACCAGTGAGTGTTCCCTGTGCTCCCTCCGCTGTGACCCTCAACCAGGTGTTCAGTGAGTTCTGCATGAAAGCTCACCTGGGCCTGATGAAGAATCGGTACTGGATCAGCACAGTGATGAGGAAGAACACCACCCCTTCCACAGCCATGGCGAAGAGATTTCGTCCCACTAAGTCCCAAGACAGTGGTGAGACAAAGCGATTCTCCCCTGGACACAGTGCAGAGATCCAATCAGAATAGAGGCACCAGAGATCATAGCCCTTCTTCAAATTTAGGCTCAAATTCACCTATGTTTTGAACCCGGGTCTCCCACATTGCAAGCGGATTCTTTACGAGCTGAGCCACAAGGGAAGCCCAAGAATACTGGAGTGGGTAGCCTATCCCTTCTCCAGCAGATCTTTCCAACCCAGGAATCAAACTAGGGTCTCCTGTATTGCAGGCAGGTTCTTTACCAACTGAGCTACCAGGGAAGCCTCTTTCTACAAATACCAATGGTTATCACCCATGATAGGGAGCTGGTCATGGCACTCATGGTAAAGAAACCACCTGCAAATGCAGGAGATGTAAAAGACACGGGTTCAATCCCTGGGTCAGAAAGATCCCCTGGAGAAGGGCATGGCAACCCACTCCAGTATTCTTGCCCGGAGAATCCCATGAACAGAGGAGCCTTGCGGGCTAGAGTCCATAAGCGTGCAAAGAGTCGAACAAAACTGAAGCCACTTAGTATATCACCCATGATAAGGGTGAAAAAATACAGGAGTCACCAGTTTCCAAGTCTGACTTAGGGTAAGGTTTTAGGGAAGCGTACTGCAATGCAGTATCAATCAGAATTTCAGAGTCAACATGTATTAGATCTATAACTTCATCTAAGAAATCTAATGCTTCCTTTTGAATGAGACATGCCAAAAATTCTTTGTGAAAAGGCAAGCAATCCAGGGTAATTTTTAGGGTCAGTATTTTAACAAATTATTAGCTTCACTAAGAAAGATTAGAAAGCACATTAAAAGATGCTCCTTTCAGTAGCATATAATGTAATCTAGGGGTTTTCCCTGGCGGCTCAGACAGTAAAGAACTGCCTGCAATGCAGAAGACCTGGATTTGCCCCTGGGTTGGGAAGATCCCCTGGAGGAGGACATGGCAACCTACTCCAGTATTCTTGCCTAGAGAATCGCCATGGACAGAGGAGCCTGGTGGGCTACTGTCCATAGGGTCGCAAAGAGTCGGACAGGACTGAGAGCACAGCACAATGTAATCTAGTAACTCAATTCACTTCATTTTATATAAATATTCCTTAAATTCCTTATATATCTCTTTTGTACCTCCAAGCTTAAAAAAATAGTTCCTCTTCTATGCCCATTAAATAACATGGCCCATCTAACTACATGAGCAAGTCGATAAAGAATAGTAATGTGGGCACAGGAGAGATATTTTTAAAGACTCTAAAGGTAGAAAGAGCTGCAGTAAATTACCTTTTTATAGACAGTATAAAAGGTAGTATATGACCCCATCTGCAGGTCCATGATTTTCCTAATAGAGCCAAAGTTTGCATCTTGCCTTTCGATTCTCTGGCCGGTATCTAATTCTCAAAGCTGCGGTTTGATTTTTCCAATGACTTTGACAACCCCCACCAGTGGTACCAGGCACTGGGTCCAAGCTGAAACCAGTATTTTCCCTACCTCCAAAACCATGTTCTCACCTTTCACACAAGTGAAGACAAGACCCAAGCCACAACCATCTGTGCTGACATGAGCCCTATCAGTGGAGGGAAGTCCTAGGCCCAGTCACCAGCCTTTTTCCAAAATAAAGGCCAAAGTATCAAGACCCATGCAAACTCCCATCTCTGTTAAAACATCCTGTAGCCACTGCTGTCACTCACCAAACCTTTCCAAGGCATCAGCCATCGCCTGGTTTTTCACCATGTCAATGAGCCCCCGTCCCAGGCAAAAATGTGGGAAGATCAAGAACACTGACTTCAGGATATCATTGATGTTATTCAGCTTCTAAAAAAATAAGAGAGAGACTGTAGGTCTTTTGTGACTCAGGCTAAAAATTTACCAAAGTCTAAAATATGAGAGTGAAGAAAAAGTTTGATTCCTTGAGGTCAAACTGAATCTTTGAGTCAGATACCAATAAATAGTAGCAGCCATAGCTAATGATATATAATATAGGAAAATTTTTGCTCTTTGGAAAATTTGGAATAATGCTACGAGTATGGGAGGAAAATAAGCAAAGTTTAGAAATATGATTGCTTTTAATCAAAAGCAAATCCAACACAAAACATTTGCTTAGCATTTTAAAAGCAAGTTGCTCATGTCTGGGTCAATATATTTCAGTTTCAGGATTTTGTTGGAATTTAAATAATTCTTCTCAAATACATCAATCTAGCAGTGGCCAAATACCTAACAACTAAGTAAGCTGCTAAGTGCTGGATGCACTGGGCTAGGGTATAGAAGAGATAAAGATGAATAAGAAACAGTCTCTACTCTGAGGAAAAGACATATGGAAACAGGAAATTACTGCATAATTGGATGTGTTGTCCTGGAGGCATGAACTATGTGAGCTTTGAGGCACAGAGAAGCGAGAGAGAGAGTACCTCCTATATGGCAGGTAAGCAAAACTTCATGTTCAAGCTTAGTTTTGACAGAGGAATCACAGAACTGGGTGGTAGCTCACATTGTTGGTGAAGAGCTCCAACAAGAGAGTGGCCACACTGCCACTGACGCTGAAGAAGAGGCTCACACTGGTGAGGACCATGTGGGCTGGGCTGGGGATCCTGAAGCAGGCCGATGGGACGACAGAGGGTTTAAGGAACCATTCAGTCGAAGCCTACCACGTTAGGGAACGGCATGGTGGGGACTATCCAGTAAGGATGGTATGCCTCTGAAAGGCCTTGTGGGTTAAGTTAAGGTGTATGGACAAAAGCAAAGACAACAGGAGTGGACAGGAAACCTTCTTTGAGAGATCTGTAGTTGAAGGAACCGGCAAGGTCACCAACTGAATGTGGGAGACATAAGCAAAAGCAAAGCATATAAATAACTCTAATACTGCCAGCTGGGGTGACTGGGGGTGGGGGGATGGTAATGCCATCCAGGGTGACAGGAATGGCAAGAGAAATACTGGCTTCTGAAGGGAAGATGACTGGGATGTGACCAGTCTAGGGTATCTTTTGGTTAATCTAAACGGAGCCACCCACTGGGCAAGTGAGACTGTGGGGCGAGAGTTCAATGGAAGTGTCAGGGCTTAAGGCACAGATCTGAGAGAGAACAATGTGAGACATTGAGAGGCTGTGGTAGAAGCTTCCAGAATGAATGGCATCACCCAGAGACAGTACTTACAGTGGAAAACAAAATGGCGGAGGATCAAATATTGGAGAAGGCAACATTTAAACAGAAAGGAGTATAAAAGAACTTGTCAAAAGAAACAGAAAGATTTGATCAGAGACATATAAGGAAAAGGAGAAGCAAGAGATGCTATGCAAACCCAGGAAAGACAGACTGCAGAAGTTCAGACTGGTCCAGGTGGTCCACACCACAGGCCAAGTAGAATACAATCATGATAAACACTATCCTCTGGCTCCAGAAATGGTCATCCCAGCATCTCTTTCCACAGAACTCACATTGTTGGTGAAGAGCTCCAGCACAAACGTGGCCACACTGCCATTGATGCCGATGAAGAGGTTCACGCTGGTGAGGACCACGTAGGCTGTGCTGGGGATCTTGAACACGAAGGAGGCTGGGTACATGAGAGGCGTGATGGACCACCTGGTGAGGCACAAAGACATATGTCCACTGGGTCCTCCACTTTCTTTCGGACATTGGATTCCACACGCCCCATCCAGAGGTGCCTTACCCATACAGCAAAAGCAGAAGAGCGAGCACAGGCAGGTTGGTAGAGGACACATAGGACTTCTGCTGGAAGCAGATGAAGATGATAATGACCAGCGTGGCAGGAACCACGTAGTTGCACTAAAAGTGAAACAAGGAAAGCAAGGTCACCCCCAAGTCAAAGACATCTCAGGTCTTCACCATCACTGGACAAGAAAGGGCAGATAAACATATTAAAGAATAACTCTGAATTAATGAAGCCACAAAAACTATTAATCAAAATACTGGACAGTACATTTTGACAAGCCTTTTAACCCCGGCTGATTTTATAAACTGCATGTCCTTTCTGTCTTTCCAACAGATAAGCCACGGTGTCACGCTCAGTAAACTTACTGAAGGATGGATTCCCAGTCAGAGTAATTTCAATTTCACAGGCAGCAAGTAAGCTGCCATTACTCTTCCCGAAGATGACTGTGTCTGTTTCATCATTAATGCTATATTACAGTCTGCCCAAGTTCAAGCTCTCTTGTAATCTATTTATGAGGTAAGCACTTATAACATCAATGTCAGGACAGTTTCATCACACCAAGACTAATTTTAAAGTCTGTCCTGACAGTGTCTCAAGCATTAAAATGCAGAAATAAAGACTTGACCACAAGACAATTACGGGAATTCACAGCTGGCAGAGCAGAGCACAGGCAGGGAGGTAGCAGTGGGCTTGCCAGCTGTTAGAAGAATTTGTAGCTTCAGACTGCAGGGCTCTGTGCCTCAGCCCCATCCTACTCAACTGTTTTTCAACAACTTAGATGAAGACACGCTTACAGCAAATTTCAGAGGTTCTAGAACAGGGAGAGATGGATAATATACAAGAAGATAATAGTGTTCCTGAGTCATGGACTTGATCTTTCATCTCTGAATCTATGATGCCTGGCAAAGTTGGATACATAGTGAGCAGTCAGTTTGTATGTGCTTACTCAATAAAGCAGTTATTGGATTAAGACAAAAAAACAAAACAAATGGACATCCCATAAAATTCAGTTTAACAGGGATAAAGTTTTATATGTGCTTTAAACAATCTTTATGTTTATAAATAAATCTATATAAAAAGGTTGAAAAAAGTCAACTGCATTAGTAAACAGTGAAAGAGACCCCATTTAACAATACCTATGAAGCAGAGGTTTCGGTTCTCTACAAGTTGCCAATAAGAACGCGCTACTTCCAAAATGCAGTACCCTTGGGCTGAGGAAGAGCAGTACGGGATAAAGATCAATTGCCTCTAGACCCGTCGACTTTGCTCTTCAAAGAGCACATTAACAATATGGAGTATGGGCCACAGAGAGGCAATCAGGTCAGAACAGTGACAAGTCTGAGAGACTTGCTATAACCCACACAGACATCATCATCATCACTCACATTTCTACCGTGCTTTAGAGATTACAAGGTGTGTTCTAGTATATCATCTTATCTGAGGAAGATTTAAGTTAAATAAGAGGTGTCCTCAAATATTTGAGGGTATATCCAATGGGAGAAGAATTAAATTCTCTGTGTGGCCTACAATTAATGGAACTCATAGGGAGATATATTTCAACTCTGCTTTATAAAAATGATTTGAACTTCAGAATTCTTTGACATCCTCCATATTGGTTCAAACAGAAGCATTATATTACAGCCGACATGAAAACAGATTTGCAATGGATGGATAAGCTTCCAGTAAAATGTAAGAAGTTTTCAAATGATAGATTGAGTTCCTAGTAAGACAAAGAATATCCTGACTTTGGAGGTTAAAAATTTATCAGACAAGTTCGAGGCACTGACTTTAGAGGCACTGACTTAGAGTTCTGACTGAGAGTGTTCCATCTCAGTTTCTTTAAAAGGTTGTCACTTAGGGAATGAGGTGGTGATGGTATCAGCTGCAGTCCCTTTGGACAGATTTTCTCTGGTATAAGATCAGCAGGGTGCTAAAGGTCATGTTTGGTGACATGAAAGTGTACAATTGTGCCTGCCTTATCCTCTTTCATTCATCTTTGATTAGCTAGAACATTTCCTGGTGAAGGCCAGAAGCCCTTTCATCCATTCAATCTAGAGCCCTGATGGAGGTTTTTGAAGCAGCAGCAGATGGGTGTTCTTACCATGTCCCAGACAAAATTGGAGAGCCAGTAGATGACAGGCTTCACTCCGCTGATGAACTGCAGGTGCTTTGCTTTGCTGACGCGCTCCTGGATCAGGAACACGACAAAGCTGGCCGGGACGAAGGACATCGCAAAGATGACACAGATAGACACAAGGACGTCCACTGATGTGGTCATCCTGAAAAAGACAGTGCAGCTGAGGGCACAATCAGAGCATACACACACACACACACACATGAATATCTGAAGCATATCCCAGGGAAAAAGATCTGTTCACCACATATATTTTATTCAGAGTTAAAGATGATTATTTCCAAGCAAAAAAAAAAAAAAAGTCCTGATAATTCACATGCAAAACTACTTCTACTGAGGTCAAAAAGAGTCCACAGCCAAAATGAAACTATTAAAGGAAGTCTAAGAGTGGCCTAATAGCATTCACTTTGTTCTACTATTCTTGACCTTTTATGAGCAACAAGCTATAAATTTTCACACATAAGGGAATAGTGTAGCTTGAAAACTAAATAAAGCAGAAATATTAGCGTGAAACTATTCAAACAACAATTTCTGGCTGTAAATGAGTTTGACAACAAAAGAGCATGGCATATCAATCTAACACAAAAATTCCATCAGATCCTTATTATAAGAAAAATAGCCTTATAAGCCCATTAAATGGGATATAATATAAATTATTTCTTTATATAAATTCTATATAAGCTTGGTATAAAGATCCTAGTGACATACATTGATATTCCATACAAGTGAAGCAGAAACTATAACTGTGCCATACTCCATAAACAAGAAAAGAACCTAACATGTATTGACTATCAACCTTGTGCTGAAAGCCGAACTTGTCCATTTACATGAAATGCCTCACTTAGTACCATATATCTAGAAAGTTTAAAAAACCAGATTTAAACCCAGATCTCTATGATTTCAAAGGCTATACACTCTGAACTAGATCATACTGGCTTTAACTCCATACACACATACACACACATACACACACACACACACTGTCTCTCTCTCCCTCTCCAGGAATTAATAAACACACAAGCTGATAAAAGTGTGTTTCACTAAGTTTAAAAATAGTTGTTTCAAAACAAATGAAATTGATTTTTTAATTAAATATTGTGTTAAGAGTGAGTTAAAACATTTTAGAATCATATTAACAATTTAACTTACTTTAAATGAATTCACTAAATGTAATAATGGCTTTAACATATCACGAGGCATCTATCTTGTGTAGTTTAATCTCTGCCCAGCCAATTCATAAATTGATTATTTTTTGTCCAGAGCCTGGACCAACCCAGACATACATAACATACCTACGTCCCCAGCTGTTACTCTACAACCAGCTTCATACTTCGCTCCCCTGCACCAGAATTCCCCCAACACCCTCCCCTCTCCCAAATCAGACACAGTGACACTTACAGAGCCACTTCTGAGAGCTGCTGCTTGGTGAGGTTCAGTGGGTGATTGAAAGCAGTAATTCCATACTGGCTGGGGTTTGCGCCCTTCTGCAGATTGGCCCGGAGAATGGCATTGTTGATGACATTCAAGAAAGAGCTGATGGCGTGCCAGCCCTTGTTGTTGAACCACACCTGAAATAAAACACACCAGGTGCAAAGTACTGCTCCTAACCCCTGTTCCCGAAGGGAGGTGCACAGACACAAAACATGCACATGAACTCCAGAAATTTCAGTCACACCTGAAGACAAAACATGATCAGAGAACATGGTAAAGAGGTAACAGGGGCCGGGATGTGCCCAGCACTGTCTGTGAGGTCAGGCAATGTGCTGACTATCTTTAACGTATTTAATCTTCACCAAAGCTTTGAGGTAGACATGGTTATTGCCTCCATTTTATAGATTAGGAAACTGAGGCTTAAACAGGTTAAGTAACTCAGTCATGTTCATAATGGTTCCCCTGGTGTGATTGGCGGCAAAGCAAGTTCTTTTTACAGCCTCACCGATAAAGTTACTAGACTTTTCTGTCGTGAATCAACATTATCACAAGCTGACACTCTGGGGCAACACAGGAATTACTGTTCATCAGAAAGCCACTGGAACAAAGGGCTTTACCTTGACGTTATTTTTCGTGTCCAGTCCTGTCATGAACCTTCCCAAGCTGCTGAGAAATCGGTCTGCAGAACTGTCCTGTGAACAACAAAAAGCTACCTCAGCTGGGATGGTTCACAGGGAAGGAGCAACAGGAAGTCTGGAGTCTGTGGACAATGGGACAACCTTGTGAAGGGAAACACGGCTATTGCCTCATTCACTGAAACGCAACTTGAACCCTATAAATAATAACTGGCTCCTGAAAAATAAGTGACTGGAAATCTAAAGCACTGTTGTTGCCACAAGTCACACGTCTTAAAGGAACCAGAGGGAAACCCTGTGATTCAAAGTCCCAAGAGGCAGATGTCAGCCTGTAACTGGTGGTAAGGGCTCTTCACCATGTTCCCTTGACATCATCCGAAGGCCCCCCGCTACAATTAACAAGCAGATGCATCCGATATGGGGTCTGTGGCTTAAGGGAGAGATTCTAGGACAATCCCTGGTGTCTGTGACACTGGAATTCATATCATCTGAATCCCAATTCCAACTTAGAAGAGGGAAACTTGGGATATAGATAAAGAAAGTGAATGTTTATCAGGTCCTAAAACTAGCTGCTGGTTTAAAGAAAGTGATTCATTTCCTGTTTAACCAATGATTGTTTTAGAAAAGTATGTTTGATGCCCAGTTTCTCTGTTCACTGGCTATACTTAAGTTATTCTGAGAGATCTAAAATCTCTGAACTTGCTTTCTTTCTCGAGCGTTTTTGTTTGTTTTGGCTGCATTGGGTCTTACTTCCCTGACCAAGGATTGAACCCAGGCACCCTGCATTGGAAGTGCAGAGTCTTAACCCACTGGACCACCAGGGAAGTCCCTGAACTTATTTTTGACCTGCACTTTCACATAGTAAGTACACAGTGAGTGACTGAGTCTTGGCTGGCTCATGATCTCTAAGTGCTCGGTGATGGCTTTGTACTTGAAAATCTTAAACAATAAGCTACCAGGTAATCAGATCTGTCAACTACTCCCATGTACCAGCAACTCATTTTCTGTCTGACATGTCTTGGGATGGGTACCGTACCTTGACCACCTTCAAGTGTTTCTTCATTTGCTTGATGGCATCATTAACTTCTTCACTCGGAGGAAGTGACTGAGAATTACTGGCACCCAGGGAAAATCCACCATACCTAAAAGAATAGCCTGACATTAAAACACAGGCAGTGTGGGGCCCATTGTCACTCACCAGCAGACACTGCCTGAGGATGTAATGTTCAATTAGAGGAACTGTATGTTCAAAGTAGGACCAAAATAGGACTCAGAGGAAGTTTCACCTTGGTCTCCTCTAATGGATCCTGGCAGTCTCTTAACTCTTACAGCTTCTGCCCAAGTGAGAGGGACCTGGGTCTGATTATACACAGAATGAGACATCTGAGATGTTGAGAAAAGAATGCTCATTCATCTCACAGACACTCCTCCCACCCCTGGTGGCTCAGCCCTGAACATGGGTCTCAAGGCAAGCAGATGGGGAGTCAGGATGAGCAGGGAAGACATTGGCCAGAGAGGCCAGGGAGGGCTTATAGATGGGCTGTGGCCCTTTCACAGCAGGAGAACCAGAGAAGGTTCTGCATCCACTCTATTCAGTTAGTCAGTAGGTCCTGGCTCTTGGGGAAAAAAGGCGAAGAAGAAAGGTGGGAGATAGGGTCAAAAAACAAAGTTCTGAAGCAGCTATGTAAGGCATCTCATTTCTCATGAGTAATAAAGGGCTTCAAGGATGCTTCCTTCGGTTTTCTTCCCCAGTCCCATCTGCTTCTTCAAAACTCAGAGGGATACGGGCAGGGATGGTGGTGGGGGGTGGAGAGGAGAGAGCCTGACTGCAGCAAAGAAAAGGATTCTTACTCTCCTGATGGAACTCTGTTCTTATTTCCTAAAAGAAACATTGTTATTTAAAAAAAAAAAAAAAAACAGAAAGATAAACGAGTTGAAATGCAATGAACAAATGGTTTTGAAGCCTCCTATTTCATATAAGACCTTCTTGGTTATTACAAAGACCTGAAAAATTGTTCTTGAGCCCCTAGGACTCCTAGGAATCTGATTTGATAATTTTAATTAGCATAGGTTTTTCCCTCACATCGTGCTTCCTGTCAAGTCCCTAGAGACCCACAAGGAACTTCTAAATCTCCTCAAGGACATCAATATGCAAAAATTCCAAAGGCCTCTGAAGTGGCAGTTGGGCACTGAGCTAAGGGTAAAACCATCCCTAAACCAACAACTTCCCAGGGTCCAAGAAAACTGCATCAAAACCATCCTCCTGAGTGTAGGAGTCAAGGAAAAGAAAAAGAAAAGCACAGAGGAGTCAACTTACCTAAACTCATTCACCCAGATCTTGTTCTTTAAGCTGTAGCAAGGGCCAAAGACAAAGAAACCAGAAATCAGTCCAAAGAAACATTGATCCTTTTCCTGATCATACAAAAGTTAGAAATATCTACCTGGGGATACAACAAAGGGACAGAAATAACTCTACAATCAGGCTGGTGTTGTAGGGTTTTGCCAATGGAAAGAAGCCCTAATAAGCATGTCTTTTCTTCTCCATATATCAAAACCTTATTATTTTTAGGAAGGTCATGCCTTGTATTAAAACAATTAAAAAACCAACAAAGACGTGATCAAACTACAAACTTTTTAAATTCAAAAATAATAGTTCAATTATGGCTAACATATGGAGAGGTTAAGCTTCTTTCTTGGAAACAAACAGTAACTGTCATTCAAGCATACCCTTGTCATTAAAAGTCACTGGAACTCCAACTTAGGGGAACAAATATAACCAAGCTGATGGGAAGGAAGCTAAAGCAAGCATATTCTGGGCATCAGCTAAGTACAGCAGTCCCCTCCTTAATTGGAGGGGACACACTCCAACACCCCTCAGTGGATGCCTAAAACTACAGATAATACCAACCCATACATATACTATATTTTCCTATCACCTGTCATTTTCTTTGAAGGTCAATAGGACCACTATCACGTAAAATAAAATGTTACTTGGACATAAGTTCTGCAATACTATGACAGTCCATCTGATCACCAAAAAGGCCAGGGAAGGGAGCATTTATGGTGTGTGGCTATACTGCACAGTGGGACAATTCCCATCCCAGGAGAGACACAGTGGGATGATTCCCATCACACCACTCAGAGAAGCATGCCATTTAAAACTTATGAATTGTTTGTTACTGGAATTTTCCATTTAGTATTCTCTGACCACAGCTAATGATGGGAAACTGAAACTGACAAAAGCAAAACTGCAAATAATGGGGGAGCTAATGCATTCAGGACGATGCAGTGATGCCCCAAGAAGCTACACGGCTCTTCTAAGGCTCCACAGAGAAGTTCTGAGAACTCAGGGCTCTCTTGATAATGCCACATATTTATCACTCATTCCATCCATAAGAAGTACTTTACGTGTATCATTTCATTTAATCCTTACAACAAACTACTGGGAGCAACATTATTATCATGTTATATACAGCCTAAGGCTTTAAAAGGATAACTGGTTGCCATGGTCAAACGGCAGATAAGGGCAGAATTAGAATTTAAATCCAGATTTATTTTCATTCTGGAACCAGGCAACCTCAGTCTTCAACCTGAATATTCATAATACTTCCCATTACCTTTTCTAATCTGAAAGAATATCCTAAACTTCAAAAGGACAACATCAAGCCAAACTGTGATGTTTCCCACCACTACTCAATCTCCTATTTTTTAGGCCTTTAATTCCTCTAATCAGTAACAACTAAGCAGGGGCCAAGGATTGTAAATGATGACCTTTTGGCTATGATCTGCACGTATGTCTTCACCAGATAATCCGAAATGTTTCTTCCTGTGAGGTTCTGAAGGATGTCGGCAGTATTCTGTTTTCTCTGTCATCAGAAAAACCAAGCACATGTGTCTTTATGGGCCAGAATGGGAACAGAAATCAAATCAAGAACAAAAATGACACATGTTCCTCAAACATGTACCACAGTGTGAGCAGACCCTGCCCACAGGGCCTGGACACTGTCATCAGCCGATCACCAAGGCCTGGTCCATTCTGCCCTTTATGCCAAGTCAAGGTGATTCCCAGCAAATTACTCTGAACAGCTAAGCAATAGACCATGAAGTATCATTCTTCACGGTTACAAAAGGTTTCTAGGGAGCAGCACCATTGACTATGCCTAGTGAATTTTCCTCCTTGGGGTTACGCTGATGAAGAGGTGAAGTGCTATTTTAAGGAGCAGCAACCACTAAGGACTACTTTTTCAACACTAGTTAAAGTTCCTTGTCCTCGTCCTGCAGCCTGGATGCTGATAAGGCAGCAGAGAGGCATCGCAAGCAAGCCTCTTCCTGAAATTCTCAGGAAAAAATGACTCAGAATTGCTTCTCTCACTCACAGCCTCCAAGGATTGTCAAGTGTTATAACCCTCACAGAAGTTTCACAGGCCAGCCTCCCTAATTCAGCAGTGAGGAAACAGGCCCAGGGACCCAGAGTGACCCATCCAAGGTCACCAGCTCCTCTATGGCAGAGGTGGAGATGCAGCTGCGTCTGTCAGTCTGTCCTGGGACCAGCCCTGCAGAAGAGGCTGCAGCCTGACTTCCACAGACCACTGATCCAGAGTGTTGTTTCTGGCTGTATCTCAAACAAGGAAGGACCTAGGCTGACTTCAAAATATGTCATCCATTCCTTCTTCCCAGTCCACCCTACACCTCGCTCACTCAAGCACACTGAAAGGACTCACCTGAGGAGGAGGCAGCCCCCCTGCCCCCAGGGGGCACACAGGCAGCATCTTCTTGATTTTGTCGCTGCTACACTGGCAGGTGGGCGAGGGGTTCTCCATCGTCCAGTTTCCATTTTGGAAGAGGTTCGTGATGGTCTGGGGGACTGGGGCGGTGGTCCACTTCTCCTCTCCCACCAAGCAGGGCCTTTCTCTGAAAAGGGTCACCAAGGATAGCATCACCCAAGAGGGTCTGGCCTCACCTGTCACCTCGGAGCACAGGACCAATCAATAACAACTGCGAATACACATACATCCCCTCACCACTTGGTTACTGATCCGTCCCACAGACTTGTCAGCTACAGACTCATTTTACAGTTAAATACCATGGAACACAAAGAAGGCCTAAGTGCTCATATACTGAACTCAAGTCAACCCAATCACCAGCATGCAATCACTCACCCACGGGTTCACTCAACAAACACTCACTGAGCATCTACTATGTGCCAGACACTGTCCTGCATATTTGAGAATCTGGGGTGAAAAGACAAATCCTCTGCCATCATGAAGTTTATGTTCCCAGGAAAGATTAATTAACAAATAATGTAATCTTTGATGGCCAAAATGCAAGCAAAATAAAGGGAGAATGTCTGGTGAGAAAGGACCACCTGAAGAGGTCATATATTTCAGCCAACACCTAAATGATGACAGAGAACAAGCCAGGCAGGGATTGGGGGGAAGAACATTACAAGCAGAAGCAACAGAGCGCAGCTGAAAAGGTCCCCAGTGTTCTACAAATAAGGAACAACAGGAAGGCAGCGGGGCTGGAATGTGATGAGCTATGAGAAAGAGTGATGGGAGACGAGAAGAGGGAGGCAGGAGTCAGAAGACATACGCCTCGGGAAAAGTCTACATTTTATGCTGAAAATCTGGGGAAGAATGTCAAGATTCACTTTTTACATGTTTTAAAACAAGTAAAGAATTTGGGGGAGTGAGCCAAGGTGAGAGTGTTTGGCTCACAAAGAGCTAGATTGTTTGCAGGCATCCCAGGTGACGAGTCAGGCATTTATGTCTGAGTTCTGAATAACTGTGAGACCACCAAGTCACTTGCCCTCTTGGAGCCTATTTTCTCCAGAAAACTGTAAAATGACTTATTTCAACAGGTCACATTTCAACAAGGCATTTCTCATATCCCTTACACTTTTAAAACCCTACGATTTGAAGCCAAGCCACAAGGTTTAGATGATTCTTACATCAAACGAACAGTTTTGTGGATTGCTCTCTGGTTCCAAGTGGAATCTCATCACAAATCTTATGAAATTTGTCCTTCTCCACCTTGGTCATCTTGTTCTTTAGGAACCGATATTAACTGTCAGGATTTACATTTATTAAATACTGCTGCTGCTGCTAAGTCGCTTCAGTCGTGTCCGACCCTGTGCGACCCCATAGACAGCAGCCCACCAGGCTCCCCCATCCCTGGGATTCTCCAGGCAAGAACACTGGAGTGGGTTGCCATCTCCTTCTCCAATGCATCAAAGTGAAAAGTGAAAGTGAACTCGCTCAGTCGTGTCTGACTGTTAGTGACCTGATGGACCGCAGCCTACCAGGCTCCTCCATCCATGGGATTTTCCAGACAAGAGTACTGGAGTGGGTTGCCACTGCCTTCTCCATATTAAGTACTAAATACTAGCAAATGTTCAGTAAGTATCCAGAGTTAATTAGAGCCAACAAGTATATAAAAGCTACGTGTTTAACAAGCACACATTAAAACTTGCACACCCAGGTGGTATGCTCACTGGTCTGTCACCTGCAGGCTCACTATCTTCCCTTTAAAACCTGGAATTCAAGTTTGCCCTTCTCCAGTCTTCCTAAACTTTCCCACACTCTCCAAATCCTTGAATCTGTGGTTAACAACCTCAAGTGCAAATTCTACCCAAGCCTGGAAACCTGAACCCGCTTCTACCTTCACTGAGCTCTCAGAAGCTCCTCACCACTCTTCACTGTCTTTACTCAGAGAGATCTCTGGACATGCCTTCTCCCCATATACAATGACAGTCAAATGAGTATTTCACTGAATTTATTTTATATGCTACCTACTTTAAAAAAAAAAAAAAAGGACTTTGAAGGAGAATATGACAAAAATATGCAACTCTGAAAGAAGAAAATGTCCATTTCTATAAAAATGATGTCAACCGTTCAGGCTTTTAGAGGGAAGAAACTGATTAGCAAAACTACAAATTATACATAACGGGTGCCTATCTCTGCAGTCAGGTATAGGAGCTGGGGGAAAGGGATCATTATGAAGTACTATTTAAATTAAATATTAATGTCTAAAGCAGAAAACAAATGTCTATAATCATTTTCCTGGCAGGATGCTAGAAGAGTCTACTGGTCTGTTATGTTTGTTCCTAGATGCTAGGGTTAAATCACTACATTAGCTCCTTTAAAATAAAAACTGGTTCAAAGGGTAAATGATGGTCATCACCAGGTGGCATACGAAAGCAGTGCAGAGATCAAACCATGTGACAAGCGCAAGAAGCCAGCAGTGGAGGGGCTCACAGCTCAAGTGGCACTCACGGGATCGGGTTTCCTTCCATACATCGAGTCCCAAAGCCAGGTGTTCCGGTGAGAGCATTTAAGAGTTCCTGGGTGCTCACATCCTCAGGTGCATCATTACTGTAGATACATGAAAAGCAGCCAGCTTAGCAACTCATTTAAACCATGAATGGGAGGGGAAAGGCTTTTTTTTTCCCCCTCAAATTAAACACTTTATTAAGTACTTCCCATGTGCCAAATCCTGCCAAGCTCTTAAAATAGAAACACAGAACCCACCCACAAGGAACTCAGCCTCTGGTTGTTTATTTGGTGTCAAGATGATGTACAGCACTCCAAAAAAGCGGAACTTGTGTAAATAAGTGATAAATATGGAGGGGTGCACACATGTGCGCCCACATACGTTTACATGTATCTATTTTAATGGGAAGCCCATGAATTCATTAAAGATCAGTATTCCAAAAGTACTTTCACAATTAATCATTAGGCATAGACAAGAGGGGTTTTCTAGAGAAAGGAAGGCAGATTTTATGGGCTTAATGTTTGCATGGACAACTGGAAAGCACAAATAATGATGGGCAGAAGTTATAAACACAAAACAAGCCCATGCTCCACAGCCCTGGGCAACACAAGCTGGGAAACAAAAGAAGGAGGTAAATCTGCACTAAATAGGAAGGAAGAATGGAATTAGAGAAAAGGAGACTAGTTTGCATGCTTATGTTTCTTTTTTCTTTTCTTTAAAGCTTCCCTGAAGCTTCCCTTGGACATCACTGGCACACTTTTCCATAGAAAGGTTTGCAAATACTGTGGGACAGAGGAAAACTTCTGCATAAGAAGATGGAGAAATTCCTTTGTTCTTTTGTTTGAAGCACTGGATTGTTACAGAATAGCGGTACTTTTGTCTAAAACAAAAAAACACGAGCTATTATCTGTAACCTAAAGACTAAATAATAAATGTGTGAATTGCACCATGCAGAAAACAAGAACTTGGAGGTGTGAGGGTCTGAGTGTATGGAAACCCTGTGTTCAACCGCAAAATAAAGACATAGTGTAAGAATCCAAGTATATTATAGCTCAAGCAGATTTTTCTGCAAGGGTAGATTATTTACATAAGACATGTATATTCCTGACAACAGCAAATAGAGAGGAAAGGAGTTCAAAGCCCTGTTACTTCAGGTTTGCTTCACTGCTGTTCCTGCATCTATCATGAGCTTGTGTGAGGCTGTAGCCATAGCTGATAAATCCATGCCCTTGTGTAACTGAGTCCCCTCCCCTTGGCCCTCAGCACAAACACTCTGGTCAGCCTGAGCCCTCCTTTCCCCCCGGGTGCCGAAGGCAAACGCATACCTGACAAACGTGTACTGTTCATTGTACATCCAGGGCTGAAGTTCCAGGCTGGGGTACTTGCCAAAGGGCGGCACAATCAAGCTGAACACCAGGGCGATGCAGACAAACACAGCTGGCAGGACAATCTATAACCAGGGGGCAAGGATGGAGAAGAGTTGCCAGAGAAGGACAGAGGTTAGAAAGAAGACCATTTCCAGCCCAGGTAGCCTCAGACCAGCCAGTACTGGGGTGTGTGCAGGGCCTAGCTCCATCAAGACATTCGTGGCAGGTTGGAAGCAGTGGAGGCTGAAATCTAAACCCCTTCCCTTGGGTGAATTTCTGGAAGCTGGCAAGACAAGGCCTGAGTTTGTGGCCACCTGGCAGGGGCACCGAGCTGAGGACTTCACAGAGTAAATAGCAGTCACATGTCAGGGTGACTCAGAACACTGGGTCCCTCTTCTCCCTGAAAACCTGAGGAAGACCACACTGGCCATGAGCCCAGCTCAGCACCGAGGAAAATTGAGAGCCCAAGCATGGACCAGAAGCCAGAAGAACGGCAGCTTCGTTCTGTCTCTCCTTCTTTCTGTCTCTCTCCTGTATCCATCTGAAGTCACAACCCCTATGGCCTCAGTCTTCTTGTCTGCAATCTGCAGACAGACCATTCAGCTCCCATACTCTGAGAAAATCACTATACAGCACTGCCTCCAGGGAATGGGAACAGCTGCCATTTCTTTATCTGACAGCCTCAAAAAGCACAAGTAATCCTTACTAAACCACCTTAAGGGGGTTGTCCAAGTGGTGCTAGTGGTAAAGAACCTTCCTGACAAGGCAGGAGACATAAGAGATGCGGGTTTGATCCCTGAATCGGGAGGATCCTCTGGAGGAGGGCGTGGCAAACCACTTTGCTATTCTTGTCTGGAGAATCCCATGGACAGAGGAGACTGGCAGGCTACAGGCTATGGATCACAAAGAGTTGGACACAATGGAAGTGACTTAGCACGTGAACAAACCACCTTAAACTTTACACTTGTACCTTTTCTGAAAACAACTTGTACATATTTTATAAGCAAACTCTAAGCTCCTTCCATTTATTCCTGAGAGATTTACCCTTTAAAAAAAAAAAAAAGATTCAAATAATGCCCCTGGTTCTAATGTTCTCAAGTTTCAATGGAGAAAATTAATCATTATGTAACTAATTCCATGGGAAAATACTATATAAGCATTATCTCATTTAATTATCACTACAACCCTAACTAGTAATATAATTATCACCAATCAAAAAACAAGGTAATTGAGGTTCAGAAAGACTAAGCAACTTGCCCAAGGCCACACAGCCAAGAAGTAGCAGAACCAGAATTCATACATAAATCTACATGCTCCAAACTCATATTCTTTGCATAGCCTGTGGGAAAGAATCTCTGTAACTTCTTTACACTTCTTGATTTTGTAGACTGGAATAATTTAATCCTCCCAACCCAACAAGTTAGCATGCAAACAGAGAATAACAAGTCTTTTCTGTTTACCACTTTTTTCTGACCCCTGGTTATCTTTTCTATCAGTCTGCAGTTAAACATCAACTTAGAGAAAAATCAAGTCTCCAATAAGTTCATATGTTGAGTGCATCTAGGCATATCATCTCTGAAGTTTTGAAAGTTTAATTTGCTCATCCAGTTTTTCTAGACTTTGTCCTTGTTACACTCTCCTCTAAGAGAAAATTAACACACACAGAAATTTCTAATTTGAGACCCATTCCAAGTACGTACTCATAACATATCATAGGTACTATTATTATCATCCCCATTTTATGGATAAGGAGATTGAGGCTCAGAGAAGTAATCTGTCAACAGATACGTAAGTGCAAGAAGCAAACTGGGATTGAAATACAGATAATCTGGCTCCAGTGTCCATCTTCTAACAATGATGCTACCCTGCTTTCACTGGCCGGGAGCCTGTAGCCCACTAAGGAAGTCTGAGTCCTTGGCCAGGAACACACTGCTCACCTGAGCAAAGAATCCCTTCCGACTCCGTCTGGCAATCAGCAGTCTCTTCCACAAAAGGGCCACAAACTGCTGTTGTGTGAGCTTCCAGCCCTTCACCTGGTAGGAACCTTTACCGTCCATCCCACTGAGCAGGTCTGTTTCTCTGGATTCTGCAGAAAGCCATCACTGAAGGTCAGAGATTATATCAGGCATTTTTGACATCCCCAGCCTCCTCCCTCCTGCATCTTTAGCCACCGCCTTGGAGGCTTGTGTTTGGAGGTAGAAGTAAAGGAATGAAGGGCTTTTATGACAAATTCACGTCCATGGAAAAGGTATGGCCCCAAATGTACCGCAGTAGCAGTCTCTGCCTTTGGTTCTTGTCTGATAAGCACAGAAAAATGAAGGTGTCTTGAGACAGCTGAAGAGACGTGCTCACACATAATAGTTATATCAAGCCATTCAAACGAATCGAGTCATCCTCAATTTCTTACAGAATATTCTATAAAACAGGCCATGTCTGTAGGCTGACATACTTTGAGAACATATAACAGCAACTTGTCTCCCGCCTATTATATCTCTAGCTAAGAGGTGGACACATTCAGGTGATCTAAGTGCTAACAATGTATGAAGTTTCGGAAAACACGAGAGTCGCACATTCAACATGGCACAGGGACAGGACAGCCAGGAAGGTTTCTGTTCAGAAAAGTTTTCTAGAAATCCTCATCTTATACAGACAATATCTAACTGCAGTGACCTGACACCTCACCAATATTTGCTTGATTTCCTGTCTCCCCTTCTCTATCCCAGTCAAACACACACGGATACAGTCTTCGAAAATAGCTAAGTTGAAGGGTACAATCAACTCTAGTAGCAAATTCACCTCACTCTTGCAAAATCATCCACCCATTCAAAGAACATTTATTCCACAATTAAACACCTAATGAATGTGAGAAAACTGGGACTCTACAGAAAAGATAATAAATGGATTCAGAGGAATAAAGGGCTGTCTTCTGATGTGTGTCTCGAGTGAGAGGTCTCAGTGCAGTGCAGGAAGTGGGCAGGACAGGCTCTTTCAGGTCTGATTGTATGCACAGCACCAGAAAGGGGAAAGTGGCTTTTCTCATTCTCTCTCTTCTCTTTAGACCCTGTAGGCATCTATCATCCTGGTTCGAGGGCCTTGAAAGATAACACCAGAAAACACAAGAGGGAAATTCACTTTCAAGCAACAAAACACAGATCTCGCCCAAACGGACCTGGATCTATATCGGAATCATTGGGATCCATAGCATCGTCTTCAGTAAAAGGGCGAAGACAGCTCTGCTTGTCCCCAAAGACTCGTCTGTTTCGTCTTGCTGGTAAGGTGCCATCTGGAAACAAAAGGAAGGAACCCCAAGTTTTATTTGTAATAAAACAAATTCTCTGAAATTTTAAAAGCCTATTCAGTAAAAGTAAGAACGTCATAAAACAATTTGAAGGGAAAGGCCAAACCCTGGTGAGCTAAGAGAGTCTACAGGTGGCACAGCCCAGAGGGCATGCAGTCCCTTGGGAGGCTTACCTGAGGTCTCGGCATCCACTCCACTCTCTTCAGCCACTTTGAGAAATATCTGAAAAATGAGAATGAGAGGATTATAATAAGCACCACGTTGTGAGAGCAACTGTCATGATTATTACATGACTGAACACGCGAGCCCCTAAAGACATAACGTAAAAGCTTCATTTATTGAGAACACTTTGTCAGAGTCACTTAGGAGAGCAGCCATTTATACCAGAGAACATTTCCCCAGTGGTGAAAGCTATCAATTCAGAAAGTCACTTTCAAATTAAAGCTATGACATCAGGACACTGCCGAAGGAGGAATTTGTTCTGAACCTACAGGGAATGAGCCAAGTGGCTTCTTCAAGTCTTTGGCCCGAAATCTTTGAGCAGGCCAGCACCAAAACAGGCTATCCAAGACAGGATGATCAGGAGAAGAGGCGTTCCCTATCACTAGAAATGTGATGGCAGGGTTTCCAACATCAGAAGGCAACCTGAACTAGACAGGTGATTCCCAAACTCTGATCTACAGATGCTGCCCAGGAAGCATGCAATAAAAGCACAGACATTAAGGTCTTACCTCCAGGAATTCTGGTTCAAAGACCCTGGAGTTGACATTTTTAGAATATTCTCAGAAGATTCTGCTGCACAGGCTAACTTGGGGACTACTAGGACAGACACTTTTTATATCCCTTCCAACCCTCGAGGTTTCTCTAAAGAGGGGCACTGCTTACACAGTAATAGAGTGTGGGCTTTGAAGCTCAAAACCCCTGATCTGAATCCTAGCTCAGCATCCCTTCATGTCAATTTTCTCATCTTGTTATGAGAATTAAATGAGTTACAATGATTGAAAACAACAAAACAAAAACAAAACACACCCAGGTTAGCCCAAGATATAAGTAGGTTTTCCATAAATGCTGGACTTTTCCTAGGCGTGGTCATGACTCGGTCACCCCAGGAGCAATCCTCATTTCTTCCCTACCATCTCCCACTGAAATCTTAAAGGCTTAAGTGGGACCAACACTGCCCAGATGCCAACGACCTGAGGGCTCAGTGCCTAGGTCCATGGTGATCCTACTCCCCCAGCGGACATGCAGGCTGCCTGTCTAGCCCCGGGATTGTTGGCCCTGCTCAATTCTGACAGTCAGTCACTGAACTTACTTCTTCCAGAGTAGTCTCTGAGATGCCGTAACTGGAGATGCCTAGGTCTGAGAGCCGGTCGTCAATTTCGTGGAAGAGTTCCACAAAGGCTCCCTCTCTGGCTGCCTCATAGGGCAGCACATAAGTCAGCTCATGCCCGATGTCTTCCACCAGCCGGGCCTCGGCCACATGCTTCCTGATGAGGTTGGAGATCGCGGAGACATCTGTAGGGACCGTAGCACAGATATGATACGGCTTGGCCAGCTCAGGGGCCCCCTTCCTTCATCCTCTGCCTGCTCCTCAGAAGCCCACTGCCTGCACACCACAGCTGGCCCAGACACTGAAGTCATTCCACAGGTTCATCTCTGGCCCGAGGGTCCCTGGGGGCGGGGACTGGGTCTTATTCACCATTGCATCACCAAAGCCGGGCACAGCGTAGGCCCTCAGTGTACGGTGGGTAGGTCGGGGTGGATGGCTGAATGACTTTCTGAGGTTGAAAGCTGTGTCTATTGCCAAAAAGCTAGGATTATTCAATGGAAAACCTGACTAAAGGAACCTTAAGAGGTTCTTCCTCTTTCTCTTAATCTGTTTGAGGAGGCTCCTCTATTTATCTCAACAGAGGGTTAATCAGTTTATGGAAGGAGAGGTCTTCCTGGGAAGAGCCAGTTGTTAGACTTGGCCATGGTAAAGGCTTCCATTCCACATGTTTCAGTGGGGACTTTGGACTCCAAGACATCCCTCATGAAGGAGGTGTCCAGTGTCCAACCAGACCCATTCATCTCAGCTGAATGGGTGGGGAACCACCCGCCACCCCAATCATCTCAGCTCTCTAGGACACTGCCCTGCTGGCTCCCAGACCAAGCCCCAGGCTCCCCAGCAAGCGTTAGGCCACTCCGCCACCAAGCTGCACCTGCTCCCGCAGCCACCCAGGCCCAGCCCAGCAGCAAACCTTGAGTCAGCGCCACCAGCCTCTGCACCTCTCCTCCTGTGCCTCCACTCTGCCCAGCTGGGGGAAGCTCAGACACCACCTGAATAAGAAACCCCAGAGTCCTTACCGATGGTCAGCGTGTCACTTTCATGGTCGCTGCCCAGGCCAGCATCAGAACTGCTCTGAGAAACACTGTCCTCCTGATGGCAAAGAAGGAGGTGAGAAGGGGTCAGGGACCGAGCAAGGTACAGCCACCACCACCTTCACCGGGGCGGGGCTTCCGAGAGGCTCCTGTGTGTGAGAACTGGAGCAAAAAGTTTCTCCTGAGAGGCATGCAGCCAGGCAGTCTTGGCCTCTGAAGCCACTGTCTGATCTAACATGTGTGTGCTGTGTGCACAGGAAACAGAGCTCAAAAGAACTCTGGCCTGCCAATGCACACTGTAGGGACCTCCCTGATGGTTCAGTGGTTAAGATTCCGTGCTTCCACTGCAGGGGGCAGGGGTTCAATCCCTGGTCAAGGGATTAGATGTCATAAGCCATGTAGCAAGGCCAGAAAACCCCCCACAAACCTATAAGTGCTGTGACCAGGCTCTCGTCAACAGTCTTGGGCATGGGATTTACCCGCCTGGTTGTGTTGTTTGGAGCTTCTCAAACTTTAATTTGTGTCTCTTCATCATAGGACCTTGTTAAAATGCAGATTCTGATTTAGCAAGTCTGATTTGGGCCCATGTTTCTGCATTTCTCACAAGTTCCCAAGTGATCCCAATGCCACTGGCCTCAGACTATACTTTGACTCACCAGACACTAGTTAAAAAGTAAACAAGTGGACAGGAGGTCAAGGATGGGATATATTGCTAAGTGTTTTGAGTGCCACTGTTGGAATACACAAATAAATCTCAGACATGTACTGCATTACAGGGGAGTACATATCTTGCTATTGGGTTCTGGTCCCTCCTCTGTTATGCACTTGCTGGATGACCTTGAATGAACTAAATCCCTACAAGCCTCATTTCCGTCATCTAGGATAATAAGTACAATACCTCCTTCCCAGGGTTGCTTTGTACTCTGAGATGATGTTTTTTTTAAAAAAAAAAAAAAAAAAAGCCTACAAATGATAACAATGCTACAACTATTATCATGATTTTCTTTTATGCCCAGAGTCTGCTGGATTGAGTGTTTGGCATGAAATCAGTGCTCAATAAATATTTGCTGTTTTGTAGTTTAAAAGTTTAGGTCAAGAAGATTTAAAGGTAATGAGGAGACACAGCAGGGCATTCTGCAGCCAAGGCTCTTAACTCTTGGCAAACCTCTCTTCCTCAACAACATTAGTCCTGTAAGGACCTTCTCCTATACTCACTGTGTTTCCGTAATAAAAAGGAAACGGGATTGAGCAGAGCTAACGCGATGGGAACAGAAGTCTCTGTAGCTTTCCATGCAGGAGGTACAACATGACTCCACAGGGCACAGAGCAGGGAGCTGGTGGCCTCAAGGTAGCAGACCGGGGCAGGTATGGACAAGCCAGTCATAGCCAGAGTCCCGATTCCCCGGACGCACTGAGACTGCAACTCACCTTTTTCAGGTATGACACAGTGCTACTGCTATTTCTGCATGAGCTGAGGGAAGACTCCACGTCCTTCTTGACCAGGGTCAGGTAGTAGCCTGTCCCCAGCTGGTTCTTTAGGAACAGGGAGGAGCCCACGCAGCAGAGCTTCCCGTGGGAAATGATGGCGATCCTGTCCCCCAGGATGTCTGCCTCATCCATGTGGTGCGTGGAGAGGATGATGGTGCGGCCTGTCGGGCACAAACACAGGGACATGGCACAGGTGAGGCTGACCATCCTCACTGCTCACAGGGGCCGCAGCTGCAGAAATAAGAGCCAGGGGACGCCTGGGAGGAAGACCTCAAGGCTGTGTGCTTGTGACCCCCGGGCTGGTAATGTCGTGAGGACAGCTTCTGCATCCTCATAGAACAAAGGGCAGGAATGTTTATCTGGGAGCTAGCTCCAGGCCAGCAGTGTGCTAGGTGATCTATGTGTTAGTGTGCTGGGGCTCATTCAACTAAATCCTTCATAAGGCAGGCTTCCCTGGTGGCTCAGCTGGTAAAGACTCCACCTGCAATGTGGGAGACCTGGGTTTGACCCCTGCGTTGGGAAGATCCCCTGGAGGAGGGCATGGCAACCCACTCCAGTATTCTTGCCTGGAGAAACCCACAGATAGAGGAGCCTGGCAGGCTACAGTCCATGGGGTCGCAAACAGCAGACACAACTGAGAGACTTCCACTTTTCATAAGGTAGGAATTAACCACCATTATAGATAAAGACACTGAGGCAAGTTTAATGGTTTTTCCAAAGTCTGGGCCAACTTGAGCTGACTCCAAACCTGTGCGCCTTGTACCATACCATCCTTTGTATCTTCTACCCTGGTGGCACAGCGGTAAATAATCTATCTGCAATGCAGGAGTCCCAGGGAGATGCGGATTCAAGCCCTGGGTCGGAAAGATCCGCTGGAGGACTGCATGGCAACCCGCTCCAGTATTCTTGCCTGGAGAAACCCACAGATAGAGGAGCCTGGCAGGCTACAGTCCATGGGGTCACACAAACCGACTGCAGCTCTCCCACCCACTCAAGTGTTCCTCTACTTGTCAACATGCAAGCACAGTGCACCACGTGGGGACACAGATACAGGACGACACAGCCTCGGCTCTCAGGAATCTGTCTGCAGGGGACCGTGATACTAGGCAAGGGAAAGTTCTATGTTGGAGGGGGCCCAGGGGGCCCACAGAGGACACCCTTTGTCCCCATTTCTCTCCTCCATGCAGGCCCCTAGGGATTGAAGTACAAACTTGAAGTGTCTTGTAAACCAGGCCTCCTACTTGCACACCAGGGCTGAGCTCAGAGTTCAGCTCCATATTCTCCTTGAGAAGAAATTCTGCTGCTCTAGCAAGAACAGCCCTGAGATACAGCCAGTCTTTATGAGCCCCTCCCTCCCTCCCTTCTTTCCCCCTCCCAGCCCAGAACAGAGTAAATACACATCAGTGACCTTGTCGGTATTTCAGCAGCAGCTCCCATATCCCCCTGCGGGAGTAAGGGTCCACACCGGCTGTGGGCTCATCCAGAATGACAACCTTGGATCCCCCAACAAAGGCCAAGGCCACAGACAGCTTTCTCTGCATTCCACCTACGGCGAGAGGAGACAAGCCCCAGACCAGCCCATTGAATGATGGCAGAGGGTTAAAGGCAAGAGACAAGTGGAGGCACCCCCCCGGGGACAAGTCCAGGACACGTTTCTGACCCACCCTTCCCCTTCCTTGAAGCAGGGGACCCTAGGGCAGCCATATTTCGTGTGTGTGTGTGTGTGTGTGTGTGTGTGTGTGTGTAGAAGGGGAGGTGGAGGAGGAAGACAGCTTTGGGCCTCACCTGACAGCTGACTTGTTTTGCTTTTCAGTTTGCTTGGCGGCAAACCAACATCCAAGGCCATCTGCTCCATCTCAGCTTTCACGTGCTTCTCGGAGAGCCCTTTCAGGCGGGCGTAGAACCAAATGTGCTCCTCGACAGTCAGCCTGGGGACGGAGGGGCAGGTCACTCTGGGCCCCCAGGACACACAGACACGGTGCCTCCTCACCCAGAACATGACAGGCACATTTTTCTTTCCCCACTTTTTTTTTTTTTAAGCTTTATCCATTTTTGCAAGATAATCTCCAGGAAGGATTCAAGGCAGAACCACAGTGAGCAGCCACATGAGCTGCTCAAGAAACAACACCAAAATTGTGACAGGTCACATCCACTCTATTCCACCCATCAGGCAGCAGCAGGTCCTCGGAGAGCCTTTCTCCATGGCCCACCAACCAAGGAGCTGCCTCAGCCTGGAGCAACTCCCTTGAACTGCAAAGGACCTCAGCCCTGACAGAAGAAGGACCCCTCTAGAGGACACAAGTCTGAGCTGCCCACTTAGATAAGAGAAAACTGGGGCCCAGAAGGGGGTGCCCTTGCCCAAGGTCACAGAGCTCACGTCTCTGTCTGCTCACCACAGGGGCTCCCTGATTGCTGATGGGCAGGCTGAATGGGAGCAAAGTTCTGAGCAGGAAGCATGCAGCCCACATCCTGAGGGCCCAGGGTACCACCAGGTGAAAGCTGTGGCAGCCTCAGGGAGGGTGTGTGGGGAGAGAGGGTTCCTTGCTCTAGAAGGACAGCAATAGACGGCACCATTTCCCCAGCCCCCATCCACCGGCTGGACCAATGTAACACCTCCCACCCCACAACTCACTTTTCTAAAACTGAAGGACAACGAAGTCTCAACATGTCCAGGAAGGTGAGACCTGCCACCCCTAAAGGTGGTAAAAATGCTTAAGTCCAACTCTGCCCATCACTCCTGACACACCTCCATAGAGGGGCCGCTGGTACTCACATGTCGAACAGCACATTATGCTGGGGACAGACCCCCAGGTTCTGCCGGATGGTGCTCATCTCGGAGCGGATGTCTTTCCCTAGGATATAGGCAGTGCCCGAGGTGGGAGGGAACAACCCAGTCAGGATGGACCTGAGGACAAAAATGTGAAAGTACAGGAGTCAGCGTTAGCACTCCTGCCCTGGAGATGCTCCATTCTAGGTTGCAGAGCCCGGGTGGAAAGCAGAGGCGGCAACCCTCCACCCTCTTTCCTTCCTAAGAGACCCCAGGGAACACCCAAACAGCAAAGGACTCTTTGCCTCAGTGAACAGATAGGGGTGGGCCTATGTGTTGGAAATGGCAATTTCAGCACAGGCATTTTTTAACTAAAGATTCCAATTTGCAATGGGAAGTACAGTTTAAAACACACATTTTGTATGCCTAAAATCATGTTAGAGTCAAATGGACAAAGTAGAACCAATTATGTAAAGACGAAAATAATTTGTGTGTTAGGATTTTTTAGATTTTAAAGATTTTACATTTTAAAGATTTAAACATTTTCAGCAATGTTTGCAATATATTAATCGTGCATTTAAAAAATACATAACAGGAAAAAGAAGTTACCTCCCCCCCACACCAATATACCCTCTGAAATGGTTGATGGGCTACACTGAAAGCCTATGAGGGTAACTCTGGTGTGTTTATGGCCCGTGTTCCCTTCTGAAACTGCTCATTATTAAGGTTCTTATAGGTCCCAGAGAAGGCAGTCTTACAGCCAGCTGCCCAGCTGTTCCTCACATCTGCTTAGAGACAGAGTTTCCAGAAATTGCCTTCTCCCTCCAACACAGCCTATCTTCCTTTTCACATCCTTGCCTCCCAATCCTGACCAAACCAGTCCCAAAGAAACCCTTTCTCAGATCCGCCACAATGTCAGGTTCTAAAACACTGCAGAATTTTGAGAACCAAATGGGAAAGGTCATCAAAAGGTCCCCAGCCTATTTTGACCTGAAGAAATAATATCTAGGAAAATCCAGCATTTGGAAAGCATTCCCGTGATAAGATGATATTTTTACACTCATCAATTCCTCAGGTGCTCTGCCCTTGCCCTGGGCAAGCAACACAATGTCCTTAGGTATGAGTTTCTGACTATAGGAAAGAACCTTCCTGAAGCTGATTCTGAGAGAACCACACCCGCTTCTTACATGGTGGTGGTCTTGCCAGCTCCATTGTGGCCCAAGAAGGAGGTGATCTGCCCCTCGTAGAAATTCAAGGCCAGGCCATCAACAGCCACCTTCATGCCATCTCGGTAAACCTTCATCAGGTTCTGAATGGACACACCTAGTTTCAGATGGGTGGGTTCCTCCTCCATGCAGACTGTGAGAAGACAGGACAAAATCAGCCCACAGAATACATTAACAAGTGGAAGGTCAAGACGCAGGGTCTTGTAATTTTACAACTGTCCTCTCTCCATGGCTATTTCTGGTTTTTCAGGCAAGCAGGCAACAAATCTTTAATTAGGGCCTTACTGGGCACTAGTGTTGGTGATCGGAATACAGTGAGAAAGGCACAGAGAGGCTGGGGAAGAAGAGGAGAAATGGCAGGAGGAGGAGCTGGATCAGCGGGCAGGGGCGGGTGGTAAGGGATCTCATGAGCCATACCAAGGACGTCACACGTCACACTGGCGAGTGTGGGGAGGGCACAGAAGAGATCAGCAGAGGAGGGACTTCTGAAAGATTTAGGAAGCCATACTGAGCACAAAGTATGTGTATATGTGTGTGAGGGACAGCTGGAGGTGAAGGGAGAGATCAAAAGTCATTTCTTTTTTAACGAAGCCAAGAAAGCAAAGGAAACGTCCCATAGGAACTCAGAGAGCAACTCCCCCAGAAGTCAACAGCCGTGGACACAGTGCAGTCAAGAACTTGGAAAGGGGCACCTCATGGGATGTCTCTGCCCCCAGTGGGGTTTTAGACTCTTCAGGGAGGGAGCCACTCCTTGCCCACTCAAGGAGGGCCAGGAGGGGCACCAGCATGGCAGTCAGGGGGATGCAGGTCAGCAAAACTCACTTTCTGATGCTCCCTTCTGGCTGGAAGCAGGGTGGCTCTTCTCATCACTTTCCTCGCCGAACCAGTAGGACTTAGTACAAGGAAAATACCAGGGCCTGGGGATTCCATACTGGCCTGAAAACCAAGCACAGATGTGAGCTGAACTCTGTAACGCCCCAGCGACCCCCAGGTATCCCAGACACAGCTTCCTTGATGTCTCCCCCTGACACAGCTGGTGGGAGACAGGACAAAACGCAATGGAGGTGGGGGAGGAGGGGCTGACATTTGCTGAGCTCTACTATGCACGACAAACACCCTGCACGTCTCTGAATCTTTCCAGCAACCCCATGAGGCAGGTTATCGTTCCCACTTTAGAAACGAGGAGACTGAGGGATTAGTGGCCCACTCAAGATCACTCAGCCAGTGAAGTGAAGGATTCAGAATCTGAATCCAGATCTGTACAACACAGAATTGCACATTCAGTGTGGGACATTCAGGTAGTTCGAGTAGGGAGAGGTAATCAATATTTCATGGCCACTCCTTTGGAGAAAAATCAGAAAGTGAACCAAGAAAGGGTTAAACCTCACTCTCTCAGAATTTGATCTTCTATAAAAATATATCCAAGGCAGGCCTCAATCAAGAAGATTTTTTTAGGGAAGTACAAAAATGAACTTTTATGACTTTCGATTAAAGCACAGGCAAGGGCTTAGCACCAATGTGTATCTTGTTATTCATAAGCTGTACTCAGGAACCTCTGCTGGTGGTAACTCGGGGGATACAGAATTTCAGACCTGGTTCAGCTTGGGAGGGCTCTCCTGGGCAAGCTGACTCAGTGTAACCCACTTGGGTTCACCTCCCAGCACCTACTCTAACCAGTTATGTGGCCACAGGTAAGTTGTTTAACTTCTTTGCGTCATACTCCTCTCATTCGCAAAAACTGGGTAGAACAGTAACTCCCTCACAACAGTCTTATGAGTATTAAATTGAACCAAAGCATCATTTATAAGACACTGTGCAGGTGCCTGGCACATAGTGCTCAAGAAATAAGAGTTAGGTCAGTAGTAAAAGCTGTACTTTTAGCATCAGTAGCTTCTCCTTAGAGATAATTTGTTTGCCATAGGTCTAAAGCCCTAACCACTTTCCAAGAAGACCTGGGCCCTGCAGAAATTCCAGCACAAAGAGAGGAAAATGAAACGGTTAGAAATTTCTTTTTCCTGGATGAAGACAAAAGCAGTGTGGAAGTCCAGTGTACCTGGAAACACAGCCTCGATGTACCACGTCATCACCCCGTAGAGGAAGGTGTCAAACAACATCATGGAGACGGAGGTGGTGAGGTTGAAGCCATCCTCCTTTGTGGGGCTCTCAAAGAGGTTGTCCCACTGTACCCCAATGCCCTGCTCCTCGAAAAGGGCGAAGTACTCACAGCCGAACCCAAAAGCCACAGGAGACATCAGGCTCTGTGTAAAAGAGGCAAAATTCATTCATCCATCTCCTTGTCTCTCATTTTCCTATCACTGCTAATGTAAATGCCACCTGGAGAAATGTGAATTTGCAAAATGGATCAATTACAAGATATGGAAATATTCATCTACAGAGTCCCTTCAGGGGAGTGGGCTCCTTGACAGCATATAAAGTGATTCTATTTATAAGCACTCATTATGCACACACATTTCAGAAATGCATACATGATGGCATATAAAACTAGAGTTTTAGAGTTTTATGCTTCTAAAGATGTCTCAAGGGCTCAGCAATTGTACCTTATACACACACATAGACACACACAGGCATTTTTCAGGGCCCTCTCAAGCTCCCTGCTTGGTCAGCGATGGGCTCAGTGTCATAGGAACCTGTCTGGGGCTGCTGATAACTAATGGGTCCAGACAGAAACACTTGGAGCATCTTATGGGAAACTCAGGAAACAACTCACTCTTACAGGGACTTGCATACTTTCAAAGGCCTCTCCTCCTCTGTACAAAAGAAGGAAGTAAAGTCAGGGATTCGTGGGGAGATGGGACACCTGTTCCTCAGTCATGAAGTTTAGAAAATATTACTCAAGTTAAACTGGACACAAGGAAGACAAAGGTCGAGAACAAGCCAGCTCTGACCTCAAGAACTTTCAGTTCTATCTGTGGCTGTGACTTTGTGGTGAGCTTAACATGGCCAACAGAGCTGGGACATAAAAGGCAGAACAAGCCTCTATGCTCTAAAGGCATTCCCCAGGGCCATTTACCCCCAGCTGGCCCATGGTGCAGTCTGGCTCCCTCAAAATTATCATTGATTCAACTCAACCAGTGTTCACTCAGAGGCCTAACGATAAACTACACAGTCCCTGCCTTCAAGGAGCATACAGTCTAGAATTGAGGCTTAAGTCCCCAAGGAAAGAGAATCTCTTAACTTCTGTTTTCAGCTTGGACTACAAAGCAGGGGTGAAATACCAGGGGCGGCTGTGACTGCAGATACTGCCGAAGGGCCACAGCAACTCACCATGAAGATCTTGAGGGTAAAGCCCACGTAGTCTTGCCACGCCACACACAGGACATACGGCAGGTACAGAATGAAGTAAATGATGCCTCCACAGGCGGCCGCCAGGTTGGCTCTGGAGAAGAGCGTGCTAATCAGGAAGCACTGCAGGATGGTCACCGTGGCGAACACACACAGAAAGACAAACACCACACTGGGGTCGCTGTAGGGCAGCAGGTTTCCTAACTGGGAAGAAAAAGACCGAGTAAGACTCTCAATAAGCAATGATCCATGGGAAGCAGCCAGGGCTTATTCCTAGTCTCTTAAAGATGATATAGAGAAACAGCGCTGTTCATTTTTCTGGTGAGTGAACTGAAGTCTACAGAAGGGAAATGACCAGCCCAAGACCACACAGCAAAAGAAGAGTAGAGTCAGAAACAGAACAAAGTCCAGGCTTGATATTCACCCAGGTTCATCTCAACAGACAATTCTGTTCATTGTTTCTCCAAGAAATAATATCACCTTGTATAAGGACTATAAGCACCAAGAAAGAATTGCAGGAGATAGCATCCTGTGTGACCCTTCTCTCTCTGAAAGCCAAGGAAAATGGCCAGGCCATCCCCTGTGAGACCGTGCCATGGATTCTGGAGCCACACAACCATCCAAACTCTGTGGACCTGCCAAATTTCTCTCAAGTAGTTGGTTCTGTTTCACAAGGACCTTCGAACACACAATTGGCAGAGCAGTTCACACCCACCAACCACGGGACCCCCATCCTGGCCACAGAGCTCAGGTCTGGCAGTCAGATATCAAAACACGAGGTGGGGCTTGATTTCAGCAAGAACTGCTCTGCCATACTGCCCGGTGACCTCAGGGAAGTCCTTAACCTTCCTTGGCCTCGTTTCCTTGTATGTTAAATGGGTTACTTAGTGAGGACATCATAAGACAGCACATGCATGTGTTTTAAATAGTGTTTGGCAATCAGTAAGTACTCACTTGTAATGATTAGTAGCTAGTATTCAATTAATTGTTAGTTTTTTTTCCTTGGTACCCCTCTGCTTTTAACAACATTTGTTTTTAAAAGACGTATTCTTTAATGAAACAATTGAGAAAAAATTGGCACGTAAATCTATTAATGTAAGGGGTGGACACAGAACTGCACTGTACAGAGTCCCCTTCATGGAAAGGCTTGCTGACTGGCTGTCAGCAGACAGCCTCAGGTGCCAACTGCTCTGGGTTTTTCCCAGTTGCAGAAAGCTGCCCAGCTCTGGGGCGCATCTTTCTAGTTACTATTTGAGGGGCCTAAGACTATGGATTGTCAGAGAGGGAGGCCTTGGGGTAACCTAAAGGGCTGGACATTTCAACTCCATGGCCAGAGTGCCCAGGGGCTTAGCCATGCACCACAGTTCAACTCCTGTCTCTGCTCAATCCTGCATCCTCTCTGTTCCTTGGATATATATAGATTCCTAAGAAATAAACATACACCAAACTCTATCTCAGCCTCTGCTTCCAGAAAACCTTAACCTACAACAGTATCTATCCTTCTGATTATGGTTTTTAGAAATTCTGGCAGAATCATCACCCAATACATATATCTAGGAAAATGAGTAACTCTCAGATACCATCACAAGCCATCACCAAGCAGATAGCATGGTGTAGTTAAGCACATGCTCACCTAGGACATGAGACTCCTAGGTTCAGTCCGGCTTAGCTACTAACCGGCTGGGTAGACACTGGGCAAGTTGCTGCCCTTCTCGGGGTCTCACCAAGTTTCATCACTTTTCCCAACTATAAAATGAAGGAATTGCAGGGACTGCACCTCTGACCCTATCCCTCCCAAACAATCTGTGCTTTTCTTCTGAGCCGGTAGCCTGGGGAGCACAGGGAGGAACCAGTGAAGCAGCCTTACTTTCAGGATGACCACCAGTAGGCCGGCGCTCACAAGCAGAGGGATGAGGCTGCTGATGAACCAGCTGAACCAGAGGATACCGTTGTCCAGGCCCATGATGCGCATGGTCTCCTTCAGCCGCGCCTCCTTCTCGTACACGATGCCCTTGATGATCACAGCCACTGAGTAGATCCAGGCCAGCGTCATGAAGAGAGGCATGGACCGGCTCATGACCCGCAGGAAGCTGGAAGGGCAGGGGAGGATTAAAGGCAAGAGTGAGCCAGGCTCCTGGGCCAGCAACTCTGGGGCTGCATGCAAGAGAAATCACCTGGACCAAGCCTGAGATGGGCAGACCTGTGCACCCTGACAGGAATGCTTTGTGAGCGGGGCAAAGCAGTGATTAAAAACTATTAACAAAGTGATGCCAAAGTTCTTTGAGGGCTTGCTTTAGTAACTAGACATCAGAGGTCATTAAGCTAAATGTGATTTTAAAGTACTAAAACAAAGCCAACAAAACCAAAAACTCAACTCATTGTCTCATGAAAGTTCAGCATCTTCAAGGTCATCTCATTATCAGCTTGCCTTGCACAACTGTTATAACAGATGGTGCAGAAACACACTTCGGGCAGTTCCTGTCAGTAACACTTCAGATTTCAGATTCCAAATGAGAAAATGAAATGCAGCGAAGTCAAAGGGACACAGAATCTAGACTCTGAAACTCAAGGTTCAAGTCTCAGCTTTACCACTTATGCACTTAGAGGGTATGTCACAACAGACATGTCCCCATCTTAATATGTTCTTTCTAGAGTAAAGCTTGGCTTAGGGGGGTCTTGGAAAAACTCTTCCTTTGGAAAATACTGACTAATCTTCCTGAAGGTGAAAAACAAGATAAATCCAGGTGGGGAAAAACAAGATAAATCCAGGTGACCTGGAAAAGCTAGAATGAACCCTGCAAGTAAAAGGGTGGTTCCAAAAAAATCTGGGAGAAATACAAGGAGAGTAACCCAGTTACTTCTGCAGTCTGATCTCTACACACACACAAACACACACATACTCATTCTCATCCTCACCCTCACACAACAGAGAATGAAAGAGTTTCCAGAATTTGGAAGAGACATGACATACTTCAGATGCCTGCAATAACGACACCTCTGCCCATTCTTGCTCTCTCACAAGAAATCATGAGCCACAGAGCCACAGTCCCCACTTGGCAGCACAGTGACTAAGCACTAAAAGGTTATCTAAAAAGTCTAAGATAAAATGGACTTGTTCAGTTTTATTTGCATTGTTTGAAAATGTGGTTTACTACTTACTGAGAAGAAGAAGAAAAATTGATGTGAAGTCAGCTTTTCAAGGTCCATAACACTGTACCTCTGTATTTGGGGGACATGTGGATGTGTGAATGTATCTGGCATGTGCTCGTCATGACACATTTTAAACTTGGAGATTGGGCCAATTTTGACCAAAAGGATAGGGTGTGAAAAATAAAAGTTCTGGTAACCGTAGACCAGAAAGGAGTGAGGATTACTGGTGTGTGGTATATGTTGATGTATGCCTATGCCTCAAACTGTCAACTACCTACATCTAGCATCTTATTTCCTGAATCTCCACACAACTTCAAAAACAACTGTTTTGCAGTAGCCACAGTCTTGTTTTCATCAATTTTTTGACCAGTATCAACACACATGTAAATTTAACCACAGCATTCTGTTTCCTCTCTTGGCATGTGTGTGTGTGTGCAGGCGTGTGTATGTACACACCCCACCTGGAGACAGTGCTAACCAGTGAAGTAAAGGTGGCAGCTTACTGGTAACTTACATGTCATCAACATAACAGGGGTAAGGCATCTGCTGCATGTACACGCCAGTTTTCCTCTCTGTGCCCGTCAGCACCCTGATGATTGCCTGCTCCACCACATCCTGCAAGTAAGCGAAGCCTCCCCAGACATACCGCATATCTTCAAAGGGGTCAGCCCGAGGACCAGGGTCCCAGTACCTTAAAACAAGCCACAGATGATTGAACATTCCTTAGAACCACACAACAAAAAATTCAATCACCCATAAGCCCACCACCACTACAGAGCCACTGTTTTTATTTCTGCATCGTACTTTGCGACCTCAGTATGATCTCATACTAAATTGCTTCAGTCTTGTCCGACTCTTAGGGATGCTATGGACTGTAGCCCACCAGGCTCCTCTGTCCATGGGATTCTCCAGGCAAGAATACTGGAGTGGGTTGCCGTGCCCTCCTCTAGGGGATCTTCCCGACCCAGGGATTGAAGCTGCATCTCCTGCATTGGCAGGCAGATTCTTTACCACTGAGCCACCAGGGAAATCCATTTTCAAAAATAAATTACTACAAATACTATACATTTTTTTTTACTATATATTTTTGAGCTGAACAAGGTAACACAGGATCAAATTTTGATATTTTTCTACTAATGAAACAATGTAATGAACTAAAGGGTAAAGTCATCTTTGAAACTGTGTATCAGAGAAGAAATATCTAATTAAATTAACTTTTAACCCTACAGTGGTGATCTGACATTGATTAAAATTGTATTAAAACAACAAAGTGTTTGCACAAACTGTTTCAGAAGAGAGGAAAAGTTGTAACTGTGCCTCTAGGTGTATCTTCTCTGCCTGAAGTTGCAGTGTTTTTCAGAAATGCATGTCTTTACCCCTGTCCCAGAATCGATTTTCAAGTGTGCACACTTTCAATCATTAATCAGTATGGAATCATGGGANTTTTTAAGGGAATGCTTTGCTGCCATTAGGTAGCTGGATATCAAAACAGGAAAAACTAGAAGACAATGGATAGAGATATTCTTGAGTCAGACAGAATAAAGCTAGAAGTCAGGTCTGTTTCTGTCTGTCTGTCTCATTCATTCAACTAACATTTTTTTGAGTGCCTTTTCATACACCACCTGTATTTTTAAGTGTCTTTTCATACACAACATGTATTAGGTTGGAGGGATGCTACTGTAAATAAGACTACACAAAATTTCTAAACTTTACTCCACTCTGAATCTTACTGCATCATCTCAGAGAAAGAAGCCAAAGCCTTTTCTAAATGGTCCATGGAACAGTTCCTCACCTCCATGAAACGAGAGATGGTCTGGATTGCCTGGTTGGTCTCATTGAAGGCTTCTCTCCAGGTGTACACGGAGCCATTGGGGGACTGCACATCCTCTGGGTACTTGGCCAGAAATGCCATGATATCTTTGGCCTTCCAGTCTAAGCCTTCCAATTGCTGTTCCCAAAAGTCATCATTGGCTCTGCTGTCCAACAGTGTCTGCCATTCCAATGACAAAGTACAACTAAGTCTTGATGAGTGCTATACGATTTACAAAACCCTTTCACATACATTTTCATTTTTTTTATCTTTATAAAAACTGTGAGGTAGGTAACAGTGTTTCCATTTTACAGGTGAGACCACTGAGGCTGAAAAAAATAACTTTTTACCAAAGATGAGTCATACACTAATAGGCATGGAGTTGACCAGTCAATGTCAGTCCAGTATGAATCTAGTTTCCAGTACAGCTTAACAGTAAATGCTATTAACTACAGTAGTAACAATAATCATACTTATACTCTATACAATTACTGTTGGATTAAACACTTTACCTCATACAACTTCATAAGGAAGGTTTGTCTAATAGTTTCCATTTCACAGATGAGAAAACAGGTTGATAGAAGTCCCTAACCATAAGGTCACACAGCTAATAAGTAACAAAGCCAGGATATGAGACATGGGCTCTCAGATTCTATTGCACCTTCCCCCTGCATTATATCATCTTCTTCTCTTGAGACCCAGGCTGATAACTCCTCATAAAGACCCTAATTTCTAGACTGAATTAAGACAAACCTGTTTAGCTTAGGGAAAGAATGCTGCTGTTAAACCAAGTGAAACCTGATCTTTCCCAGTTACAGGATGCATGGGTCATGATGAAAAGGAGGCCTATCTTCCCTTTCTTTTCCCTTAGCTGGCTGGCTCTCCACATGGGTCAACATGGAAGAGCAGGAAAATCAATCAGGCGCTCAACCAGGAGGTGCAGAAGACCAGAGCAGAGGCCTGCAAAGATACGCTGCCAGAAAAATGGGTCTGTTTCAACCTCAGCTCATGGAAAAGAGAATCAGCTACAACTCCTGTCATACCTTCAAGAAGGCAGATGAAACTCTGACTCTACTGAAATGGAATCTCTAAAGGTCAAACTCTGCTATTCTTAAAATTAGTCTCATTTCTACTAACATTATAAGCTTTTCCCCATGTAGCTTCATATTTATTATTTTAATGGGAGCATAATAGTTTTTACAGGGTATATAAACCATAATTTCATTAACTATTCCCATACTGTGAAACATTTAGTCTATTTCTAATTTTTCACAAAAAAACAATTATTATAGCAATAACATTCTGTTTCGTAGGGTGTCTTCTTTCTTTAAAATTATTTCTGTATGGGATACATCCCTGAGGGTATGTGGAATGGAAGTACACGGGATAGCACACTTTTTATGGTTCTTACAATTTTCATTCCAAATTGCTTTCCTATAGGGAATAACAAATTATATTGTCATCAGTTAGGATATGTACTTTTATTAACATAATAGATACAAAATGGTATCTCACAAAGGTGCACAGGGGAATGGGTTAGTGATTCTGAAATGATTTTATTTGAGACTTGAACTGAACAAATAAAACCTGAGTGAAGACATGCAGTATTTGAGGCGAGGTCTGCCCCGCCCAGTGCAGCTTCTGAGCAGTACAGCCAAGGAGAGCAGCAAGGCCTGAGAGATGTATCCCAGTGGGATCACTGACTACATGATTCTAGGGCATGAAGATCGCCCTCAGGAGCAGTGTCCATGCAGAGGCTGAAGGTGAAGGAGACAAACAGCAGCTCAGAAAGAGCAGTTGAGTATCAATGAGTTCCATGACTCAACAAAGAAATGTCTCTAGATCTGTGGGTGCCTCCAGATAGAACAGGCGCAGACAGAGCCAGACACAGCAGAAGATAAGAGCTATCACGGAGTAGAGGGGTGGTTGCTGGGGGGCTGGGGAAACACAGAGGTCAAAGGGTATGACGTTCCCATTATTAGATCTGAGGATCTAATGTATAGCATGGTGACCATAGTTAATGATAGCAACCCGTACACCTGACACTTGTTAAGAGGTAACTAGGTGAAGGAAGGGACATGTTACTTAGCTCCAATGTGGTGATCATTTCACAGTGTACACATATATCAAAACACCAAGTTGTATACGTTAAATACATCCACTTTTAATTTGCCAATTGCACCTCAATAAAGTTGAAAAAAAAAGAGCTACCCCAACAGAACCAGAAGTCTCAGGCACTGACTCATGTACCAAATGTGAGGCTGCAGGGGGTGCAGTGGACAGAGAAGTCCAAGCTTATAGAGTAAAATAAACACTCCTTAGTAGAGAAAAGAAAGCAGTTGGAGGAAGCTCCTTCGACTTCCACACACAGGCTGATGAGTCCCTAACTGGTGTCTCCAGCCTAACCAACCAGTTACACTCCAAGCCCTAGTATCCCCTCACTTGTTGGACATCCCTACCATCCATCGGCTAGAAATTAAGAATCACCCTGAAACTACCCTCTCTTTCACTCCTCCACAACCAATCAGTCTCCAGGTTTTACCCCACCAGTGAGCCTCTGCCCTGGTCTCTGCCTTCCATCTTTCCTCTCTTCAACTCACCTGTCAAACCAGAGTAATGTATACATTGCCAAAAACCCTTCCATGAGTTTGGTAATGGTGTGTGAGAGCTTCAAGTAAAAGTCCTTGGCTTGACACCCAAGGCCCTCTCTACCACACACTGTGCCTTTCTCCCCAGCCACAGCTCCTACATTTCCTATTGCACGTCCTGGGCTCTCCAGCAGTATTCCCAATGAATGCCATGGCCATGTTGACAAGGGTCTCATCCCACAAGAACTGACAGCCTGTGACCTGCTGGAGCATCCAAGTCAAACTCTCTATTTAAGAGCAGGGGAAGCATCTATCTGCCTACAAACTCCATCTATTGATGGAGTTCCTTCAATATGGCTCCTCATTACCCTCTGAGGCTCTGAAGGAGAGAAGTCCAACAAGAAGGAATGTAGATTCTAAGGAGAGGACCAGAAGAAGATGTCTGAGACCACAGCAAGATCTATGACACTGTTTGTGGCTGGACCACATGAATCTCTTTTGGAGGAGAAACTGGAGCCCAACAGAGACCATCTTTGATGGATATAAGTTGTTGTCGTTATTATTAGTCAGGAATTATTCACTCAATCCAGACAAATTATTGTTCACGCTTCCCTGACTAAAGTCCCTTTGTTTTTAAAGCCTCCCAATTTAAGAATTAAATTGCAGGACCAGTGCAACAAAGATGACTCAGCTTTCCCATCACTGGAAGGCCCCCAGGGTATGGTCCCTCCTAGGGCATCTTGGGAGGGTCCTCAGCCTGTGAGAGTACCTCTCAGGGTAGATATACCACCCAAAACACCCAGCTGCCCTTCTGATCAATGACGTGTCAAGACAAGAAACCTGGCAAAATCCATCTGTGCTTCTTAATAGCAGCAGGAACAAAAGGAAGAGGCCTCTCTCACCATGGAGACAGGAAATAGTCTAATGATTCTCTGACTCAGCCCAAGGCAGGATGATGTGATTAAACAGCACTCAGACTCAAGCAAAGGAGACATTTCATTCTTGCTCAGACTCCTCCGCTTCTGAATCCAATTGTCTTTAGAGCACTTATCCCTTTTCAAGTGGTTCTGAAGCACTAAGTGAAATTCCCCGCCACATAGTAACAGCGGCTCCTCACTCACACGGCGCCTCAGGGAGCAAGTATCTGTGATGAGTCTGCAGGTCAGAACAGCCTTTTGCTCGCACACCTCTGTCCAAGACCTACCAGGACCCAGTAGGGCTGAGTAAGGCACTGTGGCTCTACATCCAGAAAACAGTCAAGGTCTTGTAATCTTGTAATCTTCCTCCAAATACCAGTCCTAAGTTTCTTGGAACTCTGATTTTGACTGTCAGACGCCTTGATGCTGACGTGCATGAGATGGTGTGATCTGTGCACCATCACCTGTACCTCTGCCAAATGACCGCCCTGCGGCTTGAGCAGTGCTCAGTCCCTCTATACTGGGTTCAATGTAAATAACTCTCTTCTCAGTCTCTTCTTGGGAACTAAAGAGCATCAAGCAGGCACACAGTAATCAGAGAGACACTCACCCGGACAAGGTCCATTTCTGAGCTGCTCTCCATAAAGGTCCAGATCTTGGGGCTGAGCTCTTGCCACATGCCTTCTAGATCATGAAACACAGCCAGTTCCTGGAAGGTCTTATTCACCTGGAGTCAACCAGGAAGCCAGGAGCAGCAAAAAATAGAAGAGGGGCAGAGACACGAGAAACTCAGCTACTCCCTGAAAAGACACTCCATCACAGAAGCCCTTTTCGAACTGTCCTTCCCATCCCCAAGAAGTGCCTGTCTGCAGTGGGGATTCAAACACCCAAGACTGGAGAGCTGACCCTCAACAGTCAGCAGGGGCCTAGGTCAGACTAGAGGTCCTCATTCTTTGGAAATCCCAGAATAGTATACTCAATATACTCCATCTGAAGCCACCTTTATATTTTTGTTCTTAATTCTAGGAAGAGTCTGTTGAGGGCCTCTCGGGCCCAGGTGGCTTACCTCAGTCATAAGCTGCCTTGTGACTGGAGTGTCAGGTGTATACAGGATCTTTCCAACAAGCAGGGGCTTGAGAGCTTTCCATATGATGCGGGAAAGAGGACTGGACTCCAGATTCTTCATCAAATCATTGCAATAAGGAGCTGTGAAAAGAATGAAAGGCAAATATTTGTATGCATGGTCATACATTTGTAGAAACTAACAAAAGCTTTAGAACCAGCTGGTCAGTCATAGGTTTAAATCTCAGCCCTGCCAATTAATGGTTATGTAACAACTTCAGATTTGTGCCTCAGTTCACTCCTCTATAAAATTAAAGTTAATGACATCTACTTAACAGAGATATGGAGAGGATTAACTGAGATGATATCGGTGGAGCCCCTAGAACAATGCTGGATAAATAATCAAAGTTTATTTTAACATTGATGATGTCACAACTGAGACAATATAGAAGAATACTTTTTACCATGCACAAGCCTAGAGTTGTAACTCTAGATGACTTAACTCCAGCCTTCAACACTTTGTTTCCACTGGAAACAGAGGGTTGAATTTCAGACTTTAGTTTTCAAGCAGAAATAGAAAATCTCCCTTCAATTACTAAGTCTCATAACAAATACCTGTAATAAATGTAATGAATATCCCAAAGTGAAAAATCCAAAGTCATAATAGATAATAAGGTCTGATTATCCAGAAAGATTCCCAAATTTTTTAAAAATTTCACTCTGGGTTCTTTTAGATTCCAAGTATCCTCTACATGCTGCAAAGCTAATATTTAAAAACAAAAAAGAGGACTTGCTCACAGTTGTAGCTGTTGTGAAAATGAAGGCTCCCTCAGGTTGACTTACAAAGCGAGGGAGCAGAGGGGATGGCATTTCAGAAAACTGCCTACAGCACCCTTCCCTTCAAGCTCACAAAGTAACCTGCCACGGCTGGAGTGCTTCACTCCAGAGAAGAATAAAAGGTTCTTATGTTACAGTAACGCACTAAAAGCCACCTCACTCAGTGTCTGAAAGACACACCTGCGGTTAGAAACGGAGAAAGGCTTACTTGCATCATGTTTTCAAGGAAAACGATGCTACTGTCTGCAGCTGTAACACCGGCTCCTCACTGCCTCAGGCACAGGACACACGTCCCCACAAAACTGCCCAAGCGTGAGGAACAGATATGGTGTAACAAGGTTCTCTAATGACACTTTGTAGCTAAGAACTAAAAACAAACAGCAGATCAAATGCCCGAGTCTGACGGCACACATGCCACCATGAACAGGTATTCTGGAGGTCATGTGTTTATGGGCAAAAAGCATGGAGCCAGGCAGACCTGGTTTAATCTGGGTTCTTGTGGATTAGCTACAGTGTGAATTTGACCAAGTCACTGAACCTCTCCAAGCCTATAAAATGTGGGGCTATAAAACCTTCCTTGCAAGGAATTCCCTGCCAGAGGTCAAGGTTCCATCCCTGGTTGGGGAACTAAGATCCCACAAGCTGTGGTCCCAACACAGCCAAGAAAAGAAAAAACAAAAACAAAAAACCTTCCTTACAGGGTTACCATAAGGGTTAAATGAGTTAACTTTAAAAAAAAAAATGCAAAGGACACAGGAAATGTTCCCTAAATGCTATCTTTCATTATAGTTGTTATTGTTAAGTTTTTACTATAAAGCACATCTCAAGGAGAGCAGGGGGAAAAGGAAAGGGAGACAGGGAGAATGAGAAGAACCTTGATCACTCTGGGAACCACCTTCAGACATACCCCAGGAAACGAGAGAGTGACATTCAATCATCCATTCACTTGATAAAAACACTGTATGCCTGGGACGTGCCAGGCCCCTCTCACACAAGTGGGGACAGTTCGCTGATGAGGAGAAGATTTGCTCCTCTAGGAGGTCTGTCTGGGTGGCAAACAGAAATGTAAACAAATACCCAGCTGCTATGTAGGATGAGGGTAAGCACGAGAGAGGAGGCCCACAGGGCTGAGTCTGGGACGGAGGTGGCGCCAGGGCCCGGCTGTGTAGACACTCACACGAAGAGTTGTCGTAGAAGGTGCCAGCGTCGTCTTCCGTGCCGTTGCCCCCGAAGAGGGCTTTGTAGTTGTTGTCCTCGTACCAGTTCAGGGACTTGATCTTCAGGCCCCCGCCCTCGGGATGGCCGCAGATGATGCGGGNTCTTCCGTGCCGTTGCCCCCGAAGAGGGCTTTGTAGTTGTTGTCCTCGTACCAGTTCAGGGACTTGATCTTCAGGCCCCCGCCCTCGGGATGGCCGCAGATGATGCGGGACACAGCCTGGTAGATCTGGGTGGAGGAGCCGGAGTTGTTCACGTTGGTCAGAAACATCACCTCCTGCCGCATGTCACTCCAGCTCCTCATGCTGAACAGCTGGGGGAGGGAGCAGGTGGAAAAGGAAAAAGAGGGGGAAAGGTTGAAGACACAGGTTAGTTTCTTCACCTCTACAAAGCCTTACACCTCTACAAAGAAACAGGTTAGTTTCTTCACCTCTACAAAGCCTTATCCCAGAACATAACTTGTCTGACGTCACCTCTCAGAAGCCTTGTGATGGGGACCGCCAGAGCCACGCTACCCCTCTGTTGTTAGAGGGACTGGTATCACCTGAGAGACTGTTTGAGATGCAGATTCTGGTCTATCCAGAGTTCAAATCCACTTTGTCACCAGGTGCCCAGGTGATTCCCATACACATTAAAGACTGAAGTACAGCCTAGAAGTTGGTGGAGCCCCTGGTGAGGGGCTTTATCTCATTCAGATTATCATCGGGTTTACAGAAGAAGATGCTTTCCTTGAAGAATTATGTGTTCACATGTGTACATCAGCAACTGCTCACCTCCTCGGTCATGGCCTCATTTCTAAAACACCTCAAACTTCAGGATGGAAACTGAGGTACCCTCTGCCCCTTAGCGGAAAAAGCACTGTGTGTGAAATCCCCACCCTCGTCTCAGCTAAGCGCCAGGCGCTGGGAAGGAGCACACGATGGGACCTCAACTTGGAATCCCAGCCACATCCTCACTGGCTCACAACCTTCGGAAAGTCACTTCTCTGAGGACCCCACTTCTGATCAAGACGAAGAAGCTAAAACAGAGCGTGGCGAGAACATCACACAATATCTGCTCTCCAAGAGGGCCCTGCACAGGCCAGCCCCTGCCTGGAAGAGGCAGAGACCGCAGGCAGCCGGGGGCTGAGTCTGGGACTTACATGTGACCAGCGCTTTGTCTCACACACAAATGTCCTCCAGCACCACGTGGACGTCTTGGCCCAGTGGCTCTATGATTAACCATTCACCAAGCACTTTGTATTTCCACACGTTCCACAATACGTCATTGATATACCCTTCCATTCCTCGCCCTGTCACTGCGTGCCCAGGCTGAGGTGTGGCAGCACAGGGAGGGGTTGCGGGACGCCACTCTTGCTCTGGAGGCAGTCTAGGCTCAGACTCCACGACCCGCTTTTCTCTCTCACAGAGCCCGCTGATCCCTGTGAGTGAGAAGGTGCTGGGTGCCACAGACCCTGCCCCTGCCTTCAGCCTGCAAAGGGGAACCAGGTGCTCCGGGGGTGGTCAGAGGTCACAAAGACTCTCCGCTCCAGAAAGGGAGGCTTTGACACCCAGAAAACACAATTAGGTGGCCAGCTTTTCCCGACTTTATCTTCTGAGGTATACAGACAGGGAGGGGGATAGGCAGTCAGGCCCTCTTTCCTTTTGCTGGTGGGTGCAACAGCCCTAGGGTTTTTTGAAGGATAGCACAAAGGCCACTCACTTCTCTTTCTCGCCACCACCATCCTGCCATCTCCAGACCAAAAGGACAAATCTCTTCCCACAGAAAGTCAGCACATCATTGGATAGAAGCACTGTAAGCAACTGAGTTATTCCAAATTCTTGGCTCTTCCCAGAACCTGCCTTAGGGGCAGACTCCTACGTGTTCTAACTTCAGCTCCTGCCCCAAACCTCCCCCATGAAGTGCTTCCCACCACAGGGAAGGCAGCCGCTCAGCCTCCAACCCACAGGTGGTGGCATCTGATCATCATCTATGGAGTGAATGAACTACTGAGGCTTTCTCAATCCACTGCCATGGCCTTCTCCTGCCCTTGCCCCATCACAGTCTCTTCTCAGCCTAACACTGGAATCGTAAACAACTCTCATCCTCAGTCACACCAGACACCCCTGATCCAGACCCTCTAGTGGCCTCCATCTTACTCCGTGTAAATGCAGCCTTACCAGGTCTGCATGGCACTCACCTCCTGCTCTAACCTCATCTCTGACTCCCCTCTCACTTGCTCTCTTTGTTCCAGCCACACCAGCCTCCTCCCTGGTCTTTACATCTCTTGATCATGCCCCACTTCAGTGTCTGGATCTATGGTTCCTCCTGCTTGCCGTGGAGGCCCTATGGTCATTTCCTTCACGTTCAGATGTCACCTGACTAGACAGGACTCCATGAATCACCTTCCCCTCTAAAATACTACCTCATCCCTCTCCATCCCTCTTAAGCAGCTTCGTTTCCCTTCACTGCAGGCAGCCCTGCTGTCCCATTGTATACGGACCAGTCACGGCAGTCCCACAACAGAGAAGTGAGCGTGCTCACTGCGGAGTCCCTGGCACCTGGCTGTGCCAGGATCCTGGAAGGTGTGGGCAGACAACCAAACGCTGCTCCCTACCCTGCCTCCCCAGGCTCACCTTCCAGAAGTGAGGCTCAAGCCCACTTTCACCCCTCTGGCTCTGAAAGTCCCCATTCCCTCACAACTGCCAGCCCTGTGAGTCCAGTTTCTTTCTCTGAATAGCCTCCTTCCGACTCTATTCCAGTTACCATGAGGGTTCGGACAAAAAGTGCTAAAGCTGCAAGAATGTGGGCTTTGGAGGCCAACCATCCTGGGTTCAGAACCCAGTCTTGCCAATTAACCTACTAGGCGACTGTGGGCACACTGTCTGGCTTTTCTGAGCCTCAGCATCACCGTGCAATAGGCACAGCAGGCCTCATCACATTTGTCATGTGGATCACACAAGGAAACCGGGGGAAGCTGCAGGGAACACGGCAGCTTACCTCCCTTCACCTTTCAAGGGCTGTGCTTCAGTCAAAACAACCAACTTTCTTTCCAAACACCGAGCAGATCAACAAGTGCACTTATTTATTTATCTTCTCCCATTTGTCCCAGAGAAACTCTTAGATAATGAGTCACTGGTGGCAAAAGTGACTTGACTTTGACAAGTCAAAAACACTTGACTCAGTGTTCCACTGAGAGGGTGGGTGGCAGGACCAGGGGATAAGCAGGACTCAAGGAAGCAGCTGCCAAGAAAAATGCATATTGTTCAACTGGAGCGTTTCTACCATGTCAGCAACAGGACATCACATGCTTTCAATTGTTTTTTAACCCTAGACAAAAGGCAGGCCAGTGATGTAAGAGGAAACAGCTATTAACCAGATCCTGAGTTTAGAGGCAGCTTCAATGTTAGATCCCTGCTCTGCCTTTTCTAGGGCTGGCAGAGAGTACAGGCAGCTAACGGGACTCAACAGAGATGGCAATGGACTTGCAGGGCAGCTTCTGCTTCTCATGCTGCCTCCTGGAAGAACCCCAGGAGACCCAACTTCTCCACCTACAGAGAGGTCACCAGCGTTCATAACCAGAGTAACAGATGGCAGCCTGGAAGAGTGCTTCTCCTCCTGAAAGCCAGTCCTCTTCAATCAGGCATACAGCAGCAGGATTGAAAAAGAACAGAATCAAAAGTGACATACTAGGTAACATGTTGACAGAGCTGAAACAGTGCTTTCTGTACTTCCCAAACATTCTGCGTTTTCCTTTGTAACCATACAATACTTTATTCCTGCTGTTGTTGTTCTTCAGTCACTAAGTCATGTCCAACTCGTTGCGGCCCCATGAACTCCAGCATGCCAGGCTTTTCTGTCCATTACCATCTCCCTGAGTTTGCTCATACTCATGTCCATTGAATCAGTGATGTCATCCAACCATCTTCTCCTCTGTCGCCCCCTTCTCCTGCAACCCTCAATCTTTCCCAGAATCAGGGTCTTTTCCAATGAGTCAGCTCTTTGCATCAGGTGGCCAAAGTATTTTAAGTATCTATTCATAGAAGACATAAAGTGAGCTTTGATATTTGAGAAAAATCATACAAACACCAAAAAATGAGTTAAAGAAGCAGTTCACAATAAAGCTGGACCAAGTCTGAGAAAATTTTGCCACAAATTACTTCCAATGTCTCATACATTAAGGCCTATGTGGTTTCTGACCATCACTTCCTGGCTCAGCTCTCAACACAATAGGCTCCAGACCGTTGGTTCCTCTTTTCCAAGTCTACTCTGAAACAAGGCTGAGTGTCAGAAAGGCAAGCACATACTGACTGGGAGGCAGAGAAGTGCTTAACTGCTAATTTTGTAAGTCAGGCCCTCTGATCTTATGACAAAGGTGATTCTATTAAGTAGGAAGTTAGGTAATTCTAATACACTTGTAAACATGTGGACCCGAAAAGCAAACTCAACATTTATCAGGAGACTCTATTCCCAAAGTTGAACTCAGGGGCTATAAGTTCACAAGGCAAAGATCCAAATTAGGGGTACCAGGTTCTCCCCTTCAGTTAGTAAACAGACGTTCTGGTAAAAAGACTGTCCAGCTTTAATACTGAAGAAGAAATAAGGAGAGGTTGCTGTAAGACAAACACACTACATGGAGGATGAGGAGGAATCATCTCCTCTACTAATGAGTCATTAACTCAGAACTAAGAGTAACAATCGGAGAAAGTCCTAGGCTAGACATCAGGCCTTTAACTACTAGCTAACTAACCCTGAGACATCCACGAGTCTAGGTTTCTTCATCTTTAAAGTAAGGAGATCAAGCCAAGTAATTTTAAGATCACAGATGCTTCTAAAGTTGATTTTATATTTTTTATGACATTCACATCAAATGGACTCTCTAAACCAAACTTAGGGTGTAAAAAAAGTCATAGTGGATGGTCTGCCCATTCGGACTGAAAAGATATGACTTACCTCTTGGGCCAGATTCCCAAGACTATCCAGCAAAGCTTTTGTGGCTTCAGCCAGCTCCTCACTCGGGAAGAGGGATGTAGAGTTTAGTTTTGTCTGCAACGAGAAATAAAGAAATAACTGTTTCTAAACTCAATGTAAACCTGAAATCTCTATTTAAAAATAAACAGGTTGATTAAAACTATTCATAATCTTCAATTTGAAACACAAGAAACCCAATCCTAACCAAAATAAGACACTAAAATTATTCTAACTATATGTTTGTAGGTTATTCATCTCAGATAAGAATTACTAATTCTCTGATGAATGCTTTTAAATGATGTAGGAATATGTATTTCAAACTGGTTGATTACACAATAGATAAAAATGTCTGATGTATATGTGCCCAGTGTAAAGCTGACCATAAATTCCCAACTCTGTCTATGGTTTTGCTAGAAAGACAACATTGAAATGGCCTTGAGAAACAAATTTGTGATAGTTCACAAAAAAGGAAGAAAGGATAACTTTTAAAACTGCCAAAAGCATGGGAAGAAGGAACTCTTTTTTATTCCACTCAACTCAGCACTGTCTCTAACACTGGAAATTTACTTAACTTCTAAACAAACTTATTTTAATATATTAAAATGTATTGTTTTCATGTATATTAAAAATTAATTTAAAATAATTTAAGAATACCTGCTTTATGTTTAGTTTGAGCCAAATCACTATATTTACTCATTTACATACTGCTATTATATGCCACTTAGCTGCACAGCCAATATAAAAAAATAATTAATTTAAGCCCAAGGTAAGATAGGTTAGGACAGAAGGTCTAAGCTAGAGAAGAAAAAGAAAAATGATGCACAGACTCTGAGGCCAGAATTGGTTCTGAAGTTTTCAGGCTTCCAAAGAAAAAATGATGCAGGGTCAGTTTTATCACTCTTGTTTGTACAATAGGGAAAAAAAAAAATCTCAGGGAAAAGCCCATCTTTCTTTGGCAATTCTATAAGCATCATTTTGCTCAATATCAGATCCTTGGATATCTAGAGAAAACTGAACTATTTTAATACTTGTCTTATCTCAGAGATTGCTGTGAAATCCTATGGCAGATGACACAAAAGACAGCTGAAAGTATGAATAGATGGAGTTCATCATTAGCTCTGGGAAATAGCAGATGCAGAAGACTAAGTATCATGATCATCATAATATCCTAGCATAACCCCAAATGTTCCTTTCTGATAAAATCTAAAAGTTCTATGGATAATTTTGTCCAGCACAATTAGTGAGCTCTCCTACAACAGCTCACTCACCAGAGACCAGCCTTCCCACACTCCCAGTCCTCTGATGGGCCCAGGCTTTCATTTAAATGCCACACTCCAGTAGGTCTCTGTGACACAGCTCACAGGCTGTGTTAATGTTCATTCCTTCCATGAAGCAATCATGAGCAAAACCAGGTGGGGGGCTTTTTGTTTGCTTTGCCCTTCTCTCTTCAAGTTCACATTATACCTAAAGGCTACCACACTGAAAGTTAACCTACACAGAGACCGTGGTAAGGAAAACTTACAAACCGAGAGGTCTTAATTGGGAGACATAAGAGGTAAAAACTATTTCCTTTCACTTTGGGGGGCTTGGATATTATAAAATACGGAGAGGAGACTGATGTAAATCAGATTTAATATTACAAATTAATAAGGAAAGATAGGCTATTCAGCCAGTGTTGCTGAGACAAGTAGTTACTCATCTAAGAGAGTAATTTTTCCATCTCACACCACTATGTGAAATTAAATTCTTGGTAGATTGAATAGCTAAAACTAAAAATGAAAGTTTAAAAGTTATAGAGGAGAAAATGTATTTATGAACTTGGGGTAAGGAAGGTCTTCTTAAAATACAGAAGTCCAAATCAAAAATGGGAATTAAACTTCTGAAAGTAAAAACTATACAGCAAAGACACCATCAACAAAGTGAAAAAATAAGCCAAAGAAGAATGGATTTTTTAAAAAAATTTTTGAGAATAAAAATGGAATACCAAGCATCAGTAAAAATTAACCAGATGCCACATTTATCAACATGCTGCTGCTGCTGCTGCTAAGTCACTTCAGTTGTGTCTGACTCTGTGCGACCCCATAGAGGGCAGCCCACTCCTCCATCCCTGGGATTCTCCAGGCAAGAACACTGGATTTATCAACATAGATAAATCTTAAAAACATAACATTGGGTGAAAAAGACAAGTTGCAGATCAACATGCACACATATACAATGTGAACACATGCAGACCAATACAGTATATTGTTATTAACCAAATGTGAGTCGGACACAACTGAGCAACTGAACTGAACTGAACTGAGTATATATACAGTTGGATAAAAATGTGCAACTCCAGGATACCAACTATCTTTGAGGAAAGAGGGGAATATACAGATGACAGCAACTATATCTGTAGTGTCTTATTTCTTGAAAGGAACTATTTCATAATTTTCTTTTTAATTCAAGGAAAAATAAGAAAAAAGGAAGACGGAAGGAGATTGGCAGGAATGAAGGATAGGAATATAGGTTAGGTTGAAGACTTATCAGACTCGAAAGATGTCTAACTTCCTTGAACAAAATTAACCCCAGGCAATATGCCTTGAAACAAGGCCACACAATGAAGTCTGAGAACCAAGTGCCTGCACAAACTCTGTATGACCTGTGGTCTCTTGCTCATATTTACTTGACAAAGGCAGACAGAGCTTACCAGTAGTATTTCCAAAGTGCTCCAGTAAGCCATTCACAGTTTGGAATTTCTACTACTACTTTTCCTAACCAAAAGCATTCCCTTGGCTATAAATTCATAGAGGTCCCCATTGAGCTCCCCCATACAGGAGGTGAGATTTTCTTGTATGAAGGAAAGCAGGGGAAAGGGGAAAAATTAAATCTTTAGTGAAGACTGTACATTCTGTGTTAAGCTAACAGGAATTCATGTATTATTCAATATTTTTAGATCATAACTAAATACTATACTATCATTATAAGAAGAACAGACAAACAAGTAAATTACTCAAAGCCCCTACCCATTTCTGTAATATGTGTTAATCACAACATTGCAACATTTCCTAAAACCATGACATTCTGGAGCACTGGCTCCATAATGACAAAAGCCATTATGCCATTCTTTCTGGGTCTAATAGATGACTTCTTTATATTCTTTTTTTCCTCCCTAAGATTTTCCTTCCACATGAATTCTCTTTTTCTTTTCTAAAATCGAGGTAACAATGGTTTATAATATTATGTTATATGAATTTCATGTGTTCAACATTATATTTCTATTTCTGTGTGTGCTGCAGCATGTGCCCCACCAAAAATTTACTTTAAATTGTAAAAGGCTGAAATTTTTTTTAAAAAAAGGCAATAACTTATCAAAGTCAATTTGATTTTAATTTCTGAGTTCGTGTTTTATTTCAACTCACTGTCCAGCACAGTTCCTGGCACATAATAACTAGGCACCCAAGAAGTGTGGAAGAAAAGTAAAAAGCAAAGGCAAGAGCACATTAGGAGGGTGAGAAACGGACTGGTGTGAGTCCTGCTTCAAAGGTCACTCAAATTCACACACATACTCTGTTTCATAGTCACCTCCTCAAGTCACTCACATCTGTAGCCTTATGGTGGCTCCCCTTGCTCCCAGAATGAGGCCCAATAGCCTACAAAGGCTAAATGAACATTTCCCTCAGCACCTCTACAGTGTCATGTCTTAGCATTCCTCTCCCCATCAAATTCCCCATAGCTACCTCTGATCCACTCTGAACTACTCAATCATGCACACTTCCTCTAAATGCCACCTTCTCTTGCCTCTTTCCTCTGAGCCCCATGCATACATCATGTCCTCTGCATGGAAGATTCTCCTGTCTTTACCTGGCTAACCTCTATTCTTTAGGATCCAACTTAGAAGATGTTTCTTTCCTAATCCTCAAAGACCAGGTTAGGACACCCCATCAGAGGTCTCCTGATGCACAGGACCCAGCAGAGAGGCTATCGCTCTGAAGAGCATCTCTTCCTTTCTTTTCCCTCCTCTCCCCAACAGCAGGAAACACACATCTATACCTTGTTTACCACTGCCTCCCTGACCCAGTGTGTGGGATTTGCTGAATAAATGAAGTGTTTGTTTATAGATGATAGCTGTACAAAGGGACAAGTGAGAGGAGAGATGACTATTAATGCATCAGAAGTGGTAGCCAGACAGAAATACAAGACAGAGAGCATCTGCGAAATTAAAATGTAATTGGAAATCCTTTTAAGTTCTAAAAAAATCTTATCCACACTCAAAATTTTGCAGGGACTCCCCTACTACAATGAGATGTGCTTGTACATATATTTAAATAGTATTCTCAATATAAAACACAGTTTTGTTTTCTCCCTGCAAATGCATGTTTTAATGCGTTCATTGGTACATTTCAAACTTCCCTGAAATATTCTCATAAAGCAGACTACAGTCTCTGCTTCACTTTGCCCATATTCAGAAAAGCCAACTCAGGGCTAGGATTTATGTTTTACTTCAAATTGAAAATAAGTAAGCCACATACCAGGTACAAAGACTATCATCACCCAAAACAATTACTGTCTCTTTGCAGTCATTTACATGACAATAAAAATTGTCCTTTGAGGAACATTTTAATAATTCTTATTGAAGTGGGGAATTATAACTCACGTCTAAGGACAGTACTACTTTTAAAAGCAATTCAACTTAAATATTAAATTTTAAATTATATGTGATTAATGCATTAAAATATTTCATTTTTGCTATTTCTAGACAAAGTTAAATACACCTACTACCACATAATTCAGGATCAAAAATCAAGCCTTTATCTTAGACATAGCAAGAAAGAAATTATACTATTTCAAGTAAACTAATTATACTATTTCAAGGAAAAAATAGCATATTTGAGGCAAAAACATCTGTCTAGATGGAGCTGAGTCATCATATTAACACACTGCTTAGTTCAGTAATTTATCCCCAGTCCCGTGCTTCCCCTGTTCTCCCAGGAATTAGATGAACAGAGTCTAAACGAGTAAATCCCTGAGACGTGTCATTCTACAATTTACCAAATGATAGCAACTGCAATTGCTTGTCAGGCAAAAGCACATGTTGTAAACAGGTGGGCAGTAAAATTATACAAAACCAAACAAAACCTGATACTTCCCATAAGAGTCTGTGTTCCAGGCAAGAGGAGAGGGAAAACCAAGTGTTTTCTCCTGCAAAACACTGTAGGTACAAAACACCTACACAAATGCTTCAAAGACTGCATGTGACAGACTGAGAAATATCTAATCCCCAAAAGCTATGAGCCAAGCTGAGTCCTTATCAAAGGGTCAAGAAGACGCTAAACAAAGACCCTGCAAGACAAGAATACTGTTCACTCCTCTTCTGCCTGCTCCTTCCATCCCTGCCTAGTCCAGCTGTGAGCTCACTAGTCCTCTGGGCACTTCAGGGCACCACTCACCTTACCTCCTTCATCCCATGAACAGAGTTCCACCTTTGCAAAAGCAGACTACACACATCAGAAGATACAGAAACAGAACACTTTGCTCCATGGAGACAGAACTTTCTGTTTTCGGGTAAAGGTACCACCAGAAGTCAAGACAATCTAGTTACACGGTTGTGCAGTGTCTAAGTTGTTACTGAAATAAAGGTCAGTCTGTATGCCTGTCCTTGCAAACTCAAATCAGACACTGTTTCCCTAGCCAAAAGGACCAGACACCATCTTCACATCACTGAGAAAGGACTAGAGCCCAATTCTACTTAACCACACAGGCTTTCACTGGGGATCACGGTGTCCCATGTTGAACAAGACTGTTGCCAGGGAGCTGCCGGGAAGGGCAGCCCTCACTTTACAGAACCCAGAACCTGTGAAGAATTCCTCACATTCCCAATCCCAATCTTAAAGTCCATTCTCAGTGTCCACTGGAATGAAAGTACCATGTGGACGTAGTCTTGCCTTGTTCACTGCTGAAACTTCAGTGCCTTCAACCAGTAACTGGTACAAAGCAGACAGACAGTAAATATGTGTTAGTTTTGTTGATGAATTATCTCATGCCTTGTTTAGAGATGCTCTGCTTCCCAAAGTTACTGCTCTATTTGGTTATGCACGACAAACTTTAATGGGTAGTGTTTACTGTGCTTCAGAGTCACTCTCAAAATACAAGCAAGAGAGTACACAGGGCTGGAATAGGACTAATAAAAAAAGCCAAGGGCACTGAAGAAACACTTCAAAGACTTAATGAAATAGTGTTCCAATGTACGTTCCAATCCAAAGGCAGTTATGGCAGAATGAGCACTCTCCCTGAAGCTGTCCACATGCTAATCTCTGGAATATGTCAATCGATTGTATCATACGACAAAATACACTTTCAGTTCAGTTCAGTCATTCAGTAGTGTCCGACTCTTTGTGACCCCATGGACTCCAGGCTTCCCTGTCCCTCACCAACTCCCAGAGCTTGCTCAAACTCACGTCCATCAAGTCGGTGATGCCATCCAACCATCTCATCCTGTCATCCCCTTCTGCCTCCCACCTTCGATCTTGCCTAGCATCAGGTCTTTTCCAGTGAGTCAGTTCTTTGCATCAGGTGGCCAACATATTGGAATTTCAGCTTCTGCATCAGTCCTTCCAATGAATATTCAAGACTGATTTCCCTTAGAATTGACTAGTTTGATCTCCTTGCAGTCCAAGGGACTCTCAAGAGTCTTCTCTAACACCACAGTTCAAAAGCATCAATTCTTCAGTGATCAGTTTTCTTTGCAGTCCAACTCTCACATTCATCCACACATAACTGGAAAAACCATAGCTTTGACTAGATAGACTTTGTCAGCAAAATAATGTCTCTGCTTTTTAATATGCTGTCTAGGTTTGTCATAGCTTTTCTTTCAAGGAGCAAGCATCTTTTAATTTCATGGCTGCAGTCACCACCTGCAGTGATTTTGGAGCCCCAAGAGAGCAGAAATGTTTCAAAGCATGTCTCTCCTCAAAATTCACTTTTGGTGCAGAAATACATACTGACAGAACAGTTTGTCTCTCTCCCACCCCCTAATATTGGTTGCTGCCCCTATTGTATTTCTTGGCACAATTAACTGCCTGAGTACAAGGAAGTCTCACAGCACACCCATCTACCATCACCAGTATCAAAATTCCAACCAAGTGGCAGAACCAAAAGGCTGCTTAGTATAAATCGAATATCAATCCCAGTGCTCCAATTAAGGCATTGCTATAAGAGTCACATTTCAAAATGTTTGGAAGTCATTTCATCCCAATGGTATCCACTAAAACATCTTTACACAGAGCCATCCTGGCCACTCACCATGTTCTAATTCAAGAGCCCCATTTTCTGATTTTAGGAAGAGAGATCTCACAGTAACAGCTGACAGGCAGAAGCAGAACCTGAGATGCTCCTATGCCCAAGAGATGTGCAGGAAGCATATGGCAGCCACCCTAATCAACACCTGCCATGAACCAACTGGTCTACAAGGCTCCACCACAACACGACAGGATGGGCTGTGAAGTAGCTGACAGTTCTGACAGTACATTTCCACACTCCCAATCACACTAATTTTCCCAACTAGGGAGAGATTTTTCAAGTCATATCCTAAACTGTTGACTGTCAGATTATGAAGGCTTTGCTGTCTTTCTACTTAGAGCATAATTCAGAAATTACATAATTGGAGGGATTTTACTGGGCTGTGCACACAATAGGTGTTTAATGAGTAAACAGAAATGAAACGATGAATGGGCACCAGAATAAATTTATTCTGTCTTCTAAAAACACCCATCTTTCCAAAGCTCAAATCATCCCAGCTGAAAGGGTGAACATTTCTGTCTTGTAGTGAAGCAAAGCAAAACAACCAAAATAGTCCAAGGAAATGGGCTAGTATTTGCAACAACCTTTGACTCTGACTCACGATGCAGAAAGAGCCAGCAGGCTGCAAGTGTCTTCACAGGTGAGCTTATCTGACTATTGAGGCCAGTTATCTAGGGCTGCAAACATCTCTGGAAATTATACTACAGAATCACAGACCACTGGGGAAAAAAAAAACTCAATACATTTTTTAAACACTGAACTAGAAAATAGTATTTCTGGAAGAGAACAAAAACAGATCTTAAGCATTGGGGCTAAGCCCTTCACAGTGATGGGGGCCACAATAAAACCTGCCGTGGAAGCAGCAGAATTCAGTTTTACTACTACCTTCACTTCAGGCAGAAGCTGTTAGCGCCAGAGAATCAAGCAGGATGCAAGGACTCTTCGATGGTCAGTCAAGAGCGTAAACTCTGGGATGTGTTTCTAAGGAACATTCTAGGAGATGATCCAGGTACAGGGTCTAGAAACCGAACCTTCTTAGGACCTCAGGAGGGCCCATCTTTCTCTAGAGAAATCATGGTGTGCCAGAAGTTTCCAGAAGTCCCAGGAGTTTCCAATGTCTTTCTATTATAATGAGGAACATCTCTTTGAAGACATGTTCTTCCAGGACTTTTCCCCTGGTTTTCAAAGAACCTACTGACAATCAGGGAGCTGTCTGGTAAACAGGAAACCTGAACGCTGGATGGATGCTAAAGCATGTTGTTCACAAGGCATTTCACCAGAGCTCCCAGAAATCCTAAAAAAAGATACTTATTCTGGAACTAGACACAGCGCTGACAACCAGGATGCTCAGACTTAGCCCTATTCTTGGATTAGAAATGAATGCATAGTCTCATGGACTGCTTCTTTGAACAAGTGATTCCCAACTGATGATCAGATTTTGTTGGTATTTTTTAACCTCTGAAAACAATTTTGTCATTTTTTAAGTTAATTATTGCATGTGCTCCCATTCAATCCCAGGGTTTTCCCACTGAGACATCTCAGTGTTTTCTTTCCAATAGGCTTTTTAAAATGGACACTCATCTTCCCATTAATGGTTTTGAGACTTTTTTTTAATCTAGAAAACTCCTTCTTCAAATGAACCCTTACAACATTAAAAACCATTAAAAAGTAGGTCTTCTCTGAAACAGGCACAAGGGACCTCAGACTTGGATTCAGAGCCACACCCAACTCACTCTTTCCTTACTGACTCTTGGGCAGATGGCTCAGAATTTGAAAGGAATACCACTGAGCCAATCACATCTCTAACTCCCAGCAAGCCCTATGTTTCTACGAAAACAAAGTCATGCTGTCCAGGGAAAAATGTCACATTCGAAAAGCATTAGTACTCAAAGCTTCCTTACACAGCAAGCCTACTCACCAGGATTGGCTTCAGGATATCCAGGTTGGAACGAAGCACCTGCTCTGCTGCGTTCAATTTCTCCCTCGGCAGGCTGCAAAGCCTGGAAACTTCTTGGTCACCAAGTCGAATCACCTCTCCCAATTTTGATCCGTTGCAGAGATTGGTCAAATGTAACTGGTAGCCTTGCAAAAATACCTATAAACATTTCATGCAAAGACAGAGAAGTAAAACTGGATTACAAAGATGGGAAGCAGGGCCTCTTGGGGGAACTTCATATCAATATCGCTTTGAGGAATGGACACTACTATACCCTGTCCAGAACACTGGGTCTCTACTGAACTTCAGGATGAAGCAAGGCATGATGCTACAGGACATTTAAAACCAGAATGAGGCATTTGACTCATCACCTCCATACTCCTCTCCTTGTGAAGGGAAATCCTGAGTCCAACCCTTTTTCTCAAAAGTGGGACACACGACTCAGCAAATAGGAATCTGGAGTCTGAACTCCTCAAACCACTCTTATTAGAGAAAATAGAAAGTTCTCATTATTTTGAAATAAATGATATTTTAAACTGGGCTAAATTGTGGGGGGAAATGTATTTATACTATTTATTTGTACATAAAGATATATAACTAATGCAAAGAACTATGTTCAAACAATTTCAGAATATGGAACTCTTCCTTTTACTTGTATCGAAGCAGAGTACTAGAAAGTCAAGCCTCTTATCTCACTGACAAATAAGAATGACTTAGAACTGACTGGTCTATACATTATAGCAAAGAACTTCTGATTGGCCATATCATGTAACTAGCTTTGCTGGACCTAAATAAACACTTCTTCACATATGGCCCTTACTGTCCACTAGGCAAAAGTTCAATAAGATGAGAGACCTTGTTTTTTCATGTTCCTTTTGTGTCCTCAGTGCTAGAACATGTGGACAATAAATATTTGTGGAACAAATGAACGAACAATTCAGACTCTATTACTCTGTTACAACAATCTCTGTTTGTTTCAATTAAGGCAGCCTGACCTGCTCGTACAACCTCATGGGAATGATGGACCAGAAGGTTCTCAAGACCCATGCAGCTTTCTAACACTACAGAGCACTTGGTCTATCACGGTTTCCATTAAGTTTACACCTGCTACCAGATACGCAAGTACAAGCTTTTCCTCCTTTCTCAACTAGCCCTTGCTGCCATCCGACCTTTAGTATTTAAGACAGTGACAACAGTGACTACAGAGACTAATTACCTTGCAAGGACCACTTCCATATTTAGGATGCCCCTTATTTTAAACTGGTGGGATGTGACAGATAAGAAATTGGCAGGGGGCAATGGAAATCATGCTAATGATTTTTATAAGCCTGCTGCCTTTGGCCCATCTCCCAACCACACAATTGGTAAACACAGGCATATTTTCCTAGTTTCATAAGGGCAAGCAGTAAGAACATTTTTCTAATTTTAAAAATTCTATATCATGTAAAGCAAAGAGTTTATTTTGGGGCATAAACAGTTCCACTACTTCTGCTTATGGCAAAGTCAAGCTAGTATGCAAACATGAGACAGGGTAAGGAAGCAGTTCCCCTTTCCGCCAGAGAATAAACTTGAGAAGATCCTCTGGAAATCAATAACTATGCAATCTGGGCTTGCTGCCCACTGCATAGGAGCCGTATGATAATGCCAGAGGAGGGTTTTTTAAAATCTAAGGTTAAAATTTTACATAAACACTAATATTACTTCCTGATTTTATAAGTTTTTAAAAAATTAAGCATTTTCTCCTTGATAATAGATATCTTTCCATTTATTTTTTATTTTATTTATTTAATTTTAAATAGTTTTATTTATTTCTTTTTATTTAATTTCTATTTATTTATTTATTAATTTCTATCCTATATTTTCTAGCTATCTTTCTCATCTATCTTTAAAAGAAACATTACAAATAGATAGCCAGTGGGGATTTGCTATTCTGATGCAGGGAGCTCAAATCTGGTGCTCTGTGGCAATACAGAGGGGTGGGAAGGAGTGGGAGATAGGAAGGAGGTTCAAGAGGGAGGGGGCATATGTATACCTATGGCGGATTTATGTTGATACATGGCAGAAACCAACACAATATTGTAAAGAGTTATCCTCCAATTAAAAAGAAATAAATTTAAAATTTAAAAAAGAAAGTACTACATTTTAAAAATATGTTTTAGATTTTATAGACAAGAGATATTTTAGGTAACAATCCTCAACCCAAGTTATTGTTTCAGAACTGTGAGTTGTTTTTTTTTTTTTAATGTTTAATTCATCTCAAATTCATCTCCCCTTTAGGAAGACGTTATCAACACATGCCTGGGCTTCCCTTGTGGCTCAGCTGGTGAAGAATTCGCCTGCAGGAGACCTGGGTTCAATCCCTGGGTTGGGAAGATCCCGTGAAGAAGGGAAAGGCTACCCACTCCAGTATTCTGGCCTAGAGAATTCCACGGACTGTACAGTCCATGGGGTCTCAAAGAGTTGGACACGACTGAGCGACTTTCACAAACAAAATAAACAAAACCAACACATGCCAATTGACAGGCAGGAAATCAGTTTTATTTCAACCAGTTGGCCCATGATGCGAGGTTGCACCTTCCACTCTGGATGCTGTGGCAGGGTGAGCCTGGGCTGGGAGGTAAAAATAGACAATGCTGCATTGGAGCCACCAACCTCGTTCAGCACCGTTACAAAGACAGGAGTTTATTCATTTCCTTCCAGGTGCTCTCGTGTAATGTCATTGCATGAGCCCCACCAGGGAAGGTGAAGATCACAGCTTACCTTGCGGAGACTGACATCAGCCCCCAGCATCTTGTCCACAGTTGGCCTTGGCAGAGAGAGGTTGAGATGCAGGAATTCAGAGAAGGTTTCATTGTCTACCAGGAAGTCCTGAAGTTTCAAGCCTGTGGGAGAAATAGTGTTTCATTTTCATTTCATGAATAACTAAAAAGAAAAAAAAAGCACAATGGAGCAAAATATCCTAATATTGATTACCTCATTTTAAACCAATTGAGCACATAGAGAAATGAGGTTCAGGGAATTTTGCCTTAACAGCAGAGACGTGAAAAGATTGCTTTCTGAAGCTGTGAAGTATGACAATTCTGTACACATACACACACACACACACACACACACACACACACACATAGCCTTTTCTCGCTTTTCCAAGAGTAAGTAAACAAATCTGAGATTTGTGACCCTGACCCCACAGCTCCTATCTACCCCACTGCCATCTCAGACAGCTAAACTCAGAGATATTTAAAACGTTATTCCCACAAGCCCCAAGGGCTGGTTTCTTCTTGATGCAAAACAGTGGTTCTGAAACTTGAAGAGGCATCAGAATCACCTGCAGGGCTTGTGAAAACTGGTCCCCTACCCCCCAGAGTTTCTGATTCAGTGGCCTGAGGTGAGGCTGGATAATTTGCATTTCTAACAAGCTTCCAGGTGATGCTGTCACCCCCTGGTCTGGGGCCCACCCTTAGAGAACCAGGGTGCAAAGCATTATGCATATAAAGGTGCTTTCACAGGCCTGGTCTCCTTTCAATTCCAGACATGGAACACGTGATACAGAGCTCCCACACCCAGGCCGGCCCCTGCTTTAAGAAAATTCGCATGCATACATTTAAAAAAATCAACACTAGTAAATGATTGCATTGCTGCAGGGTTTCCTACAGAATCACTTTAAATAATAAAGCCTCCACCTTTACAGAAAAGGTTCCAATCCAGTGTAGTGAAGCAGAAAAAGCACTAGCCAGAAATCCAATTTTAGTCCCTAGAGTTGGAGGCTGTGCCTAAGTGGTATCACTTGGATATTTCATATCATCTTTCCGAATTTCAGCTTCTTTATCTCCAAACTGTGAGGGGATCAGAGGCTTAGCGGGTCCCCCTTACTGAAATGCTCTCATTTTCTCTGCCATATTTCATTTGAGTGTCCACTTCTCCTTCTGCCCCTCTCTCATAACAACCCAACTTCATTCATAAAGAGAAGGCCAGCTCATCAAGACATCACTGAGAGACTGCAGCCCACAGGCCCTGGCATGAACCGACCTCTAGGGGGCAAACCTAGCAAACCCAAATCACTTAACTGACGAGAAATAGATGTCTGATCAGAAAACAGGGCTGTGAGGTGAGGCTTAAAAAGAGGACAGGAGTTAATCCTGGGAGCTAAGGGGGTGATGTGCAGAGATAAAGTAGAAGGAGGTCTCAAAATCCAGCCAGACTCTCATAAGTGCTGTCTGATTCAGGCATGTTCTGCTAAAGTAAACTTTTAATAATCTCAGTTGGTAAAGAATCTGCCTGCAACGCAAGAGACCCGGGTTCAATCCCTGGGTCCGGAAGATCCCCTGGAGAAAGAACTGGTAACCCATTCCAGTACTGTTGCTGGGAAATCCCATGGACAGAGGAGCCTGGTGGGCTATAGTCCATGGGGTTACAAGAGTTGGGCACGATTTAGCAACTAAAGCACCACCACAGAAAGGTACAGAGCCTGACTCACATCTCTAGAGAAACAGTTCTCTGGCTACACCTTATTTGGCTAACTCCCAGTTATTCCCCATGACACATTTTAAGAAGTGGTCCTGGCCGAGTGAGTGTCCCTCCTGAGAAAAGGTGCTCCTGCAGCCTGCCACCTGCCTGGTGCTCCCCATCACATATGATACTGCCTTCTCACGATCACATTCACTTCTGTAGCTGCCAAACCTCAGAGCATTGAAGATTCACCTAGGGACATGCTAAAATGTAATTTCTTGGGCTGGATTCCCGGAGATCCTGAAATAGTAGCTCTAGAGTGGGGCCTAAGAATCTACATTTTAATAAGCATCTTCTGTATTTCTAATGCAAGGGTTCTGAGGACCATCCTTTTAGGGCTGTTGTTTTATTTGCATATTATCTCCCCTAGACTATGCCTCTGGGACACAGAATTTATCTTTTATCCTTGCATCCCAGTGCCCAGATCAGGCAAAGAATTATTGACCAATGAATGATGACTGGAAAATAATTACCAGGAGATGGGATCAGGGCTGGGAAGATTTCAGAAGTATCTGAGGAGCATCAAAGAAGATTTCCTTTCAGCTGTACAGGTCCAAGAATGGCTCGCAGATATTGGGGCGACTCCCAGGCTGCACCCCAAGAGTAAACAGGACCCCTGGTCACTAGAACTGCATTCCCAGAGACACAAAGTGACACCCTCGGCATCCCAGTAGCCCAAAGGCAGGGGTAAACAGGAAGAAGACAGGAAAGTTAGTGGCTTCAACTGCAGTCTGACCTGGAAAGCCTGACACTGACTGTATGGAACAATGAAAAAAGTCCCACACTGAGGGGTGAGAAAACCTGGGTTCTGCATCCATGTACTTGCCAGGTCATCTCACCTAGCTGTGTCTCCACTGCCTCATCTGTAAAGAGAGGGGTGAAAAAAAAAAAAAACTTCCCTGAGACCCAGGCAGAACAGAATATGCACATGAGCTAACCTGGTCTGTGACCAGGCAGGCCACTCCTGAGAGTGAAAAGCCAGAGCAGGAATCGACACTGTGCTAGGCAAATTCGGAATAACCTCCTCCCTCCAGAGTAAGGCTGCTGAAAGGTGGAAGGCTGACCCCACTGCACATGCGATGGGTCTAGGTCACAAGCAACATGCTTTAGTCAAAGGAGCATGCGCAGTGCGTTTACGTGACGTTTCAGTTAAGTCAACAGGCTCTGCTGATGAGAACCTCTGGATGTGATCAAACCCCAACCACTTCTCAGTGAATCCTCTGGATGCCCCAGGAGAGCCAAGAGGCTGATTACACAGTCAACGACCTTTGGCAGGGCACGTGCACAGGGTGGTGAGGCAGCCATGCGGTGCGGGGTGGCAGCAGGGAATGCCAAAGATCCCTGGCTACGAAGAACCTGCATTCTGGTCACATGGACACCACACACGTGGATTCAGATTTACATGCCACGAACACCAAGCTGCAGGCAGCATGGGCGCAGGAAGGCAGTGCGGAGCGCACTGGTTCTCAACCTAAGCTCCCGTGAGACTCCTGAGGGGGCTTTATAAAAATCCCAAAGCCCAGGCCACACCCCCTAACAACTTCTGCGTGATCAGAAATTCTGGTGCTAAGACACAGGCATCAGAATTTTATAAAATTCCACCATGATGATTCCAGTCAAGTTTGGGAAACATTAGTGAAATGAAAAGTTCAGGGGTATAGGGACAGAATAACTTAACTTTGATGCTGGACTCTGCTGTTTATGAATTGCATGGCTTTGAGAAATTGATTTTGCCTTCCTAAGTCCAAGACTTCTGACCTAGGAGGTAAGGGTAACAGTACCCACTTTTCAAAGGTATGAGGATTAGAGAGATTTGCATGTAATGCATGAATGCTTGCCAGGTGGCTCAGTATAGGAGCCTGCAATATAGGAGACCTGGGTTTGATCCTTGGGTTGGGAGGATTCCCTGGAGGAGGACATGGCAACCCACTCCAGTATTCCTGCCTGGAGAATCCCCGTGGACAGAGGAGCCTGGAGGGCTACAGCCCATGGGGTCGCAAAGAGTCGGACACGACTGAGTGACTTTCACTGACACGAGCCAATGCATGGATAGTGAGCAGGGGGTTCATGGGAGTTGCTCAAAAATGATAACAATTTTGGGATTATTGAGAAGGGTTTACTTCACTCACCTTGACAGTGTACCACAATGATGTATAGAGAAAAGGTAGGCACACAGACACTTCCCTCAAGGAACTTCCAAGGATGACAAGGGTGATGAAGAGGCAAATCAATAGAAAAAGCAGAGCGAGGATGACAGAGCCAAAGGAAGGCAATTCATGGAAGCATTTGACCCACATGAGCCTTATCTGTTTAAGGGGGGAATCAGGCTGAACAGACTGAAGCCAGGTTCTGGAAAAGAACAGAGAGCCAGAAATCTCCAGAGGCTGTGGCTGATGAGGAGAGGGTAAGGAAGACCTCCCCGTGATGCAGGGACCAGGGCACCCTGTAGACATAGTGCTATGTACACATGGTTCTCAATGTTTCTGAGTGAATAAATAAACACACAAGCAGATAAGCATAGAAGAGCTTCCTCAGAACCTAAGATTTGGGGAGCAGGATGGGAAAAGGAAGAGGACGAGGTACAATGTGAGGCCAGAGGAGGGTGATTTTGTACCTGTGGTCTCCAGTTTTCTCCATTTTTTTTCTTGGCAGGAAAATGAGTGGAGAAGCCAATAATATCAAGAAAGCCTGATATCTGAAATGGCCCTTTCTCCTCTTGCCCTAGCTAACTTGGACCCTTCTTTAAGATTTGGGCCATGAGTCATCTCCTCCAGGAAGCCTGTCCTGACACGACGCCCTCAAGCTGGCTCAGGTGGCCATTCCCCCATACCCCAATAGCCTCCTATGTGTGCTTCCCCCGAGCTACAGTTGTCTGAGACCACATCATTTTCTCCAGAAGAACAGAAGTGCTCAAGGGCCAGGACTTACTCAAAAGGACAGCAGTGCCTGGCACTGAGGAGGCATCCCATCAGTGGTGGATGATAAAGGAGTGGATGAACACATATGAGTGAATCAAGTAATGAATTGAGATGACCTGCTGTGGGTAGCGAAGGGTGAAACAGGATATGAGTGTGAGACAAACTAGGTCAAGATAGTGCTAGAGTTTTTCTAACCTCCTCAGCTGTATCAACCCAGCGTCAGGAGGGCAGTCAGGCATGTGGGAGCTGGAAGCAGGGCCTGAGAAGTGTCCATAACAGGATAAATGAGGATGACGAGCATCTACCTCACCGCACTGAGCTGAGGGTTAAAAGAGAAATGTACCTGAAGTCCCAGCACAAGGCCTAGAACCAAGAAAAGTCCTCAATAAAGATGGTTAATACCGTCATCACTTTCAGGAAAGACACCTCATTAGCTTCAATGCTAGTCTGATCCTAAA